TCCATCGTGACCGAGACTCGTCTACCAGGAGTCTCTGATGTGCTATTTCGGTGACGGTCTCCCCCATTGTCAACCCCCTTGACATCCGACTGGTGAGGTGTTGTCATGATGCAGTCGTGAGAAGAAGTCAATCAATCAGTCAGTCAGTCAATCAGACGAGACAGGACGAGGGGTTAGAAGTAGCGAGCAATGGCCCACATGAGAGACGGTGAAGGGACTAGACGAGACGAGACGGTGAGGAAGAGACAAAGTGAGGTTTTTGAGGAGAAGCACAGAACAAAATAGTCGACGTCAATGGATGATATTTTTTTATTGTATTGCCCAAGGACCGTTTAGCGATTGGATAATGTGTCGTTAATCCTCTGCTTGCCAAGAGGATTCCAAGCTGAAGGCTCCCGCGTGCTGCATATTGGGTGTGGTTAGTGTGGTGATGAGTGTGGATAATACGGGGGAGAATGTCCATGTTGGTCTACCATGAAAGACCAATCAGGGACGCCACAATATTCCCAAGGGAGACATTGTTGAACAGATCTGGGGCTTCTGTAGGATGAGCTTACAGAAGGGGTCACCCGGAGGCGAAGGTGTCACTGATGAAAGGTGCTGATGTTTGGGCACCTATGTTTCAAGGGTCCATCAGCACGGGTACATTCTGCGCTAAAAGTCCATCCATTCCAGTGGGTCTGGGTGATAGATATACTATGTAGGTATCTATCGCAACTCACAATAACACGATAGTCCCTTTCATGACTCTCTCTGTGGGGAAGTCGGGATCATGTGCAGATTTGATGCAGTTGGCGTGTTTTGATGGCTTGTTAGTGAAGCACAAGTGCAGTATCGTATCGCGATAGGCGCTGCGGGTGCTACAAAATGACGTAGGCCATGGCTATTCGGAATCCACCCTTGGAATATCAAGCTTCAAGGTCTCCTCTCCTCTGTCGCTTCGGAGCGGAGTAGGCGGAGTGGACGCTATGTTCACCAGACGGTATGATACTGGATATCCATAATAGCAGATACATACTGTAAACAAGTACGGGATAGACCAGATCTGGTGATTTTAGTGCAGCACCATAACGAGATACAGATCGAGATTCTCTAGTCAAGATATATTCGAATACCGGTATCACTTCACATGTTAGACATGCGCCTCATTCATCTGACCCTCGATTCAAAAGGGTCGTGACGCCCCCACAGAGCGTGACTGGAGAAACGTGCCCGCTCCGCCGCACCAACTAACGGGCAAAGCCAAAAACGATGATCGTTTGGAGGTGCGGGATCTAAGTCAAGCTGAGTAATACTCCTAGGATAGGAGGAGTAGTGATGTATTATGCAGCACGTAAGCATAAGCATGTCTTGTCTGCAGCTCTATCGTTATCTTCCAATACCATGGTATTAATTTTGTGCCTCAGTAAAACATATGCAGGCAAGGCAAACAAGATGTCGATCATTATACATCAAGATACCAGCATTCTGACACGTTACATACCTATAGAGTGGTTGTAAGCCCGAGATGGTAGGTAGTAATACCAAAACCCTCAAACAGAGAGATAAGGATAAGGTTGCAGGCAGAGACTATATCATATATATTTCCATTTCAACGTGCCTACATATATTCATAGTTCCTTCGTTTGTTTAGTGCCTTCACTCAAGTCCTCCACTAATAGCCTAGCTCCGCCTCGGCAACTGCCCTTAACCTTAGTCACCAGACCCAGACCCCAGAGCCTGGGCTTTCCCTGCGTCTAAGCTTCACCGTTCAGGGCAGCTGGCGACAAGCGACAGGCGACAGGCTGCAGGCTGCAGGCCCAGAGCATGCACAAGCCCTTATCTTTCCAATCCAACCCAATCCTCTCTCCAAACAGAAATTCCAGTACAACTGACTCAATTGAATCGAATCTGTCATCCGACCACTCGTGACTTCTTAATATAATCTCCGTCCCCGAGACTGTTTCTCCTATTCTTTGTCGTCATTCTTTTTTTTGCTCTCTGATTACTTCTTCAGCTATCTTATCACAGACAGACGTCTTGTTTTGTTGCTAGGCATCTATATAGCGGCTTGCATCTTGCGTCAACACCGTTCTGCGCGACACGGAACTATCATTGTCGACGCTGTACATACTATGCGATAAGGCTTGTCCCACTCTCAATCGAGTACATGATGGCATCCCCATCAAGAATCCCATCGGATCAACCTCCCAGGTCCTCGTCGCCTTCGAGCTTCCGACCCCGATCGATTTCCGCCTCGGTTCCTCGAGCAGATTTGACGGCGCGTCTGGCATCTCCCATTCCCAACCAGTTTGGAACTACACCTCCTGTGGGAGGCACTCCTCGACCCGATGCTGCCTCGCGTACCGAGAACCTTGAGGATCTGAGCCAACTTCCTGGCACTGGCACCAGTATGCAAGGTCCTGGTGTTTCTGCTCTTGCTGCCGCTCTTTCCAACTCTCTAGGCCAGTCTCCTCCACGACATGGTACTCCTGCTGCTCGTGTCAGTACTCCTCCGATTCGCTCACAATCTCCTCTTCTGGGCGCTCGAAACTCGGGGACACCGACAAACTATGGCTCGTTCAATTCACGCTCTCAGAATGCGCTGGGTACTAGTGCGCCTTACGAGGACCCTGAGATCATCAAGCGCCATCTGGTTCAGCCTACTGACGAGAACCCGACTTCAGAAGAGTCCTCGATCCAAGGCAACACAAAGGGCAAACAGCCAGCCGATATTGGCGGCGCTGGCTTGAATGATGATGAATTCTCCAGTTTGCGCCTACAAGGAGGTGATGTCACCCGAGGCATCTACAAGTGGACTGAGCAGGCAGAGGCACGAGCGAAATACAACCGCAGCAAGAGTTTCGACCTCGGACGACCCGAGCCAGAAACCGAAGTGCTCGACATCAACTCGATAAAGGTCCCTGGTGGTTTCCGAAGAAACCATCTTCGCCGGTCTGTTCAAAGCCCTGGTCCCCATGGCCATCTAGAGGATGGCCACAACTCTCCAGCACCCGGTCAGCAAAGATTGTTCACGTCGAGTTTCCTCGAGTTTCTGTCCATCTATGGGCACTTCGCCGGTGAAGAGCTCGAAGAGGATGATGAAAACCTCGGACCGAACGAGTACTTCTCATCTGGAGAAGATACCGACGAATACAATTCCGACGACGAGCGAGAGCCCATGGAAGATAGTGCCTTGTTGACACCGTCAAGACGCCGACGTAAGCGCAAGGTTCGTGGTGGTAGTGGTAACAACAGTCCCATGAACGCCGCTTTGCTGCTTCTCAAGTCGTTTGTTGGTACTGGTGTCCTCTTCCTGCCCCGTGCGTATCTCAACGGAGGTATGCTCTTTAGTAACCTGATCCTTTTCGGAGTCGCTGCCCTGAGTTACTACTGTTTTGTGCTTCTCGTCAAGACACAGCTCAAGATCGGCGGTTCTTTTGGTGACCTAGGTGGTGCCTTGTATGGCAAGAAAATGCGTACTCTCATCCTCAGCTCCATTGTCATCAGCCAAATCGGTTTCGTAGCGGCTTATACTGTCTTTACGGCTGCCAACTTGCAGGCTTTCGTGCGGGCTGTCTCCGATTGCAAATCTTCCATCAGCATTCAGTGGCTCATCCTTATCCAGATGATCATCTTCCTACCTTTTGCTCTTTTGCGAGACATTGGAAAGCTGGCGTTTACTGCTCTGGTCGCAGACGCCTTCATTCTGATTGGTTTGGCTTATCTTCTTTACTACGATATCTTGACCCTCAACCAAAATGGTATTGCCGACATCATTATGTTCAACAAGAAGGACTGGACTTTGTTTATCGGAACCGCCATCTTCACTTTTGAAGGAATCGGTCTCATCATCCCTGTCCAGGAGTCAATGAGGCATCCGGAAAAGTTCCCTCGCGTTCTTCTCATTGTCATGATCATCATTACAGTCCTCTTCATCGGCATGGGTGCCATCTCATATGCCGCATATGGATCTCACACTGAGACTGTCGTACTGCTCAACTTGCCTCAGGATAACAAGATGGTTAACGGTGTTCAGTTCCTGTACTCTGTCGCTATCTTGCTGTCTACACCGCTGCAGATCTTCCCTGCTATCCGTATTGCCGAGACAGAGCTTTTCACTCGCAGTGGCAAGTACAACCCTTGGGTCAAGTGGCAGAAGAACGTTTTCCGTTTCTTTGTTGTGATGCTGTGCGCATCCATTGCTTGGCTTGGAGCCGACCACCTGGACAAGTTTGTTGCGCTTGTTGGTAACTTTGCTTGCATCCCTCTCGTCTTTATCTATCCTGTAAGTAATAACAATTGCCGTTTGTGCGTACTTTGCTAATTTTCTCAGCCTATGCTTCACTACAAGGCCATTGCCCGTACGAAGTTTTGGAGAGTGGCCGATATTGCGCTTTGTATCTTTGGATTTGTTGCGATGGCCTATGCGACAACTCTTACTGCGATGAGCTGGGCCACCGCTGATCCTAAACATCCGGGATACTGCGACCAGAAGGGTGCACCGGGATTTTAAGAGTTCGACTAGTTCATTGTCAGTATATGGTGTGGAGTATGTGTTGAGAGGTGAGAGAGCCGCAAGGCTTGGTATAACAGTGTTTTGAATAGGGTTTCATTGCATATTTAAGAGCTTGCATTGCGGTGTTATTGAATAGATTGTACGTAGCATTTGGAACGGGTTAGTGATGGGAGTTGGATTGGAGGGTATTAGCCAGTTTAGTTTCGAGTTTCACTATACAACACATGCCTTTTTCAGCGACAAATCATCCTCTCAACTTTATTGTTCAAGCCTTGGTTGACGCAACTTTGCATGTTATTAATAGTTGGGCGTGGGGGGCCGAGTCTTCCGGAAAGTGGGGGATTAATGTCTTAGGGATCTTAAAAAACGATGATGATATATCGCAATACCCCGGCCGCGATATTCGGTCTATTCGTTTTCTTATTTAGTCACTGGCGGATTTAGTAATGAAGTTTCACTCACGAGATACACAACCACAATCTCATTTTGCCATATTTTTACCATGTCTTGGCGGCCGTCAATAAACCTCACACAGAGATACATCTCCAGGTTATCTCTCATACCTCGGAGAGCATACGCCCAAAGTACTAGGCAAACACGACCTCCGCCTCCACCACCATTCAACACTGTTCCAACATGTCCAGAGCCAACATGCGGTTGTGCTGAGCCCCCAAAGATGCCTGATGATCTACCTCTAGATCGTGAGGGGCCTCTCAAAGGTGCAATTGCTGGGTATGCCGAACATGTGCTTGTGTGCACTGGAAATGCAGACTGGCCGTCGAGGATAGAGGACGATAACGACGGTGATTGTCTTGCCGCGGACCTTAAAGAGTTGTTTGGTCGGGGTGGAACTTATAGCGATGTTGGTATCTCTTTGCGCTACATGTGAACTATCTTACTAATTCCTTTTAGCCGTTTCACAATATTTCTGTTCTCAACTCTTCGTTTCCTAGCTCTACATCACCACGTCCTCAGCTCCAGACAACGTCTGCCTATCTACTACCAAGCTTCAAATACATCCCATTCCTCCCTCGGGTGTCATTTGACAGTGTAGAAGCTCTAGCCAAAGGGTTTTTACTCCCTGAGAAGCTTCACTCCATGCACGACGGCCTCTCGCCTATACATCGAGACCGCCTGACACGCAAAGAGGGTTACCAGGGACTTCTCCCCGGAGTCCAAGATGTTCGCGATGTTTTGGTGCTGATATGCGGGCACACGGGGCGTGATGCGCGATGTGGCATCATGGCCCCTGTCCTAGCAACCGAATTTGAGGATAAGTTAGAGAAAGAGGGATTTGATGTTCTACATGGACCTGTGCAGGTCAACCTCAATGACACGCAGAGGATACAAGGCGAAGCTGGTAAGGAAAAGACTTCAGCTAGGATCGGGATGATCAGCCATATCGGTGGGCACAAGTTTGCAGGCAATGTCATCATCTATCTACCTCCTGACCTAAAGATGGGCAGTGAGCCACATCCATTGGCTGGACACGGGATATGGTATGGAAGGGTAGATCCCAAGAATGTCGAAGGCATCGTGAAAGAGACTATCTTGAAGGGAAATGTGGTTGCGGATATGTTTAGAGGGGGAATCGATGCTCAGCGAAAGATGTTGAGGATATAAGTGTAAGATAGCGTTATGCATAGATGGATAGATGATGGGCGCTGGATACCCAGGTATTGTAGACATATAGTAGATTCTGGCAACATTGAGTCTCATATTTAATTGCATCTATGGAGTCATCGGTTACAGAATACTCTCACCATTCATTCGGGAGTTATGCTCGTCAATGACGATGTCTTTCAGTTGAGGCGATTCAAGGTCCCACGTGACCCAGATCGGAAATTCATCCTGACTTTTTGTAACAAGAATCTCGAGAAGCCTCTTGATATTTGATGACGGTTCGGCCATAAGGAATAAATAATCTTTCCAAAGGCATAGATTTATCGCATTACCTTTCGGCGTCCTGTTTTTTGAATCCGAATATCAGACTTTCTTTATTACGCGAAAAATCTCTGAGCAAACTGGGCTTTCATTCAAGACTCAACATGATGATAACTACAGCAAGGATGCTCCCAGGTTTATCACGAACTGGAACATATGCCGGCCGAACTCTTACTCGATGTGGCCGACTACATAGTCAACTATCTGCTTCACAAAGTAGAACTCTCCAAACATCATCAAATTTATACATCGCATCAACCCGACGATACACCTCTCACAAACCAAACTTTTCCACTCCTCTTCAAGCACGAATATTCCCTTCATTGATATTCGTTGGAGTAATTCTCGCGAGCGGCGGCTATTATCTTCTCACACCACCTTCTCGACCGAATACTCTCAATGACATAACATTCGTTCCCTACGCCATCACGGCCCGCGAGGCCATCTCACCAGCCTCATTCGTTATAACCGCCGTTCCTCGCACACCGAATCCTTCCTTACCTTATCTCAACTCTTCAAATAGTCAATGGAAGAACCCTCTATGGTCCGTTGAGTTCAAGCAGCCCGAGGTGCAAATCTCGCGACACTACACGCCTCTCCCACCACTATCTAGCGAGGATCCAACAGATGGTGCGCTGCGCTTTTACATCCGCACTGTCGGCGACGGAGAAATGTCGAATTATCTAGGCCGAAGACGAATTGGCGATGATGTTTTCCTGCGTGGTCCTCATGTGGGCTTTGAGCTTGCTGAGCGGTTGGGAGAGCACTCTCGCCTTGTCTTTCTTGCCGGTGGAACGGGTGTTGTCCCTGGTATTCAAGCAGCCAAGGCCGTGCTGGAAGCGAATGAGAGGTCAAGTGTTGATTTGCTCTGGGCTGTGAGGAAGCGAGAGGAGGTACAAAACAGTACTCCCCCGCAATCATCGTCATGGAAGTTCTGGCAGGAAAAGAAGCCGACAACATTAGGTCTCGAGGTTGAGAGTCCTAGCCCTGTGACTCAACGCTTACAGGATCTCAAGAAGACTTATGGTGATCGTCTGAGAATCCAAGTCGTTGTTGACGAGGAGGGAACTCGTTTCCAGGACAAGGACATCAATGGCACTATTACGACCTCGCCTGGAACTGTAGCTTCCTTTAACGCGGGCTGCCGATTCCACGACCAGGCGATGCACGTCCACGCGTCTGAATTCGCGCTGCCTGGGGGATCTGGCTGTGTCTGCGAACTGCGTCAAGGAACCACAACCGGAAAGAATTTATTTATCGTTTCTGGCCCAGATGGTTTTATCGAGCATTATGCTGGACCCAAGATTTGGCTAGGGGGACAACAAACACAAGGGCCAATCGCGGGAGTAGCTGGACACTTGCAAAGGCAAAACCCTGCTTTGGCAAGGGACTGGTTAGTTCTCAAGATGTGAGCCACTGTAGAAAACCCATGTAGAATTTCTTGTAAAATTGGAGGCGCTCATAAAGAGACATAGACATCATCTATGTATGGATGGTACAAATAAAACCCGTAATACTAGTGGTAACAGTGGTGCCGTCTACGTGATCATCCAACGCCAACACAAAACTCCAAGCCCATGACATGACGACGACTCAATGATTCTGAACCTTCCTGTACGACGGAGGCTTCATTGTCCTCCTAATCAACTTGCCAGCGTACGGCGGTATCAGGGAAATAGCACCGATGGCCAGTACACGCCAAACGAATCCCCTACAATGGTGTAAGTAAGCTTAGCTTCAGACGGAAAAGAGGTAACTCACCAAGTTATCAAGAACTCGAGGTCAAAGTACCCGCCCAAGAACGGTATGGAGCCAATATACAAAAGGAAAGTGCCAATGATGCTGATGATCATGATGGGATGCCAGGTGGTGATTTCGATGGCTACCATGAGAAGTTCGTTGAGGACAAGGACGGTATAACTAACAGCAACCATCTTGGGGCCATCAACTTCTGTGAGAATCTGTGACAAGCCCTGAATCATGCCTCCTTGGTAGATAGACACCAAAACCCAGACAAAGAAAGTTCTGTATGAGAGGGAGCGTCCAGTCGTGAGCTCCTTGTAAAGCTCCGGGTAAAGGTTGGCGAGGTTTTCGTCAACATCTTTGTCGAGCACAAGTGATAGGACAGGGGCTGCAGTATAAACAGTAGCATAGCCGACAAGGAGCCAGTCCTATAGGTGTTAGCCACGCGAATAGAACGACACGACGAAATAGAACTTACCTTGTACAAACCCTCAGGTTCAAACTTGATAGCGATACTATACATAGTTTGGCATACTGCAATGATCAGACCACGGTGGATAACAAATTGCGCAAGTTTAGCGCTTCGCTTGTAACTGTTACGACCATGCCAGACCAAGAGCTTGACTAGGTGGCAAAACTGCTCGATCGAAAAGTCGGCTGCCAAACTGGCCTGTCGACCTTCCTTACCAACAATACCAACACCAACATCAGCAGCTTGAATCATGGAAACATCGTTGCCGCCATCACCGATACAGCACACACGCTTCTTTGTGTACTCGCGGATGAGCTTAGCAACCTCGGCCTTTTGGTTTGGCGAGCAACGACAGGCAACAACGGTAGGTAGTTGAACGGCGATAGAGATGAATTCGAGGCGAAAGTGCGTGAGGAAGAGGGCTAAGCTTTCGCCATCCACGAGCAGACAAGCATCTGTCTTGCTTCGGAGAAAGTCAAGATGTTCCTGAGCATTATCTTTCTTCGTGAGTTTCGAAACCGTGTAGATGTATTGACCACGCGCCACAAGCTTGGAGCTAACCGCCACACACCTGGCAGTCTCGACCTTGTCACCAGTCAACATCCAGATCTTGATCCCAGCATTGCGAAGAAGCTCCAAGGAGGGTTTGACGTCTTTCTGGAGCTTGTCCTCGACACCGGTGACACCGATGAGTTCAAGCTCGTTTTCAAGGTAATGAGATACCACACGCTGCATGCCAGCATCACGTCCGCTGATATTCAGCGATGCTGTCTGGTATCGAGAAGAGAATTCCTGATACTGGCCGTAGGAGAGTTTCTTACGGCCAACAACAAGAGTGCGCAATCCTTCACGTGCCATGTTGGCAGTCTCTTCATCAAGCCAATCGTTTGATGCAACAATAGAGCTCATGACTGTGTCAGCACCCTTCTGGAAGAACCAGATCTCGCCGCTTGACAGGCTAGGGTTCTTAACACTGACATCCTCGTGGAAGTGAACGATGATACCCATACGTTTACCTTCAGAAGTAAAAGGGAAGACATCAAGAATCCGCACGCGAACCACCGGCCTTTTGTTGTTGGCGTATTCCAGTATCATGCTCTTACGATCACGATACACCAGTCTCAAACCAACAGACTCTGTCCATTTGACGATAGCGATCTCATCAGGCGAAGATGCTTGATATCCAGTAACCTCTTTACCATCCTCGATATCAACAGTAGGCGTAACGTTGTGGCAAAGAGCAAGAGCGAGCACGACATCACGAACACGAGTACCGATCTCGCGTCTTGTGCGTGTCGTGCCAGTATTTGCAGAACTGGAATACGTAGATGAAGGAGTGATGAGCATGTTCTGGGAGGCATGATCTGTCGATGGCGGGACATAAAAGCCTTGCTTGACATAGGCTGATACTTCATCCATTGCTTCGTTTGCGTAAGACACCGTTCCAACATGTATTTTCTTCATCTCCATTTCGTTTTGAGTCAATGTGCCAGTCTTATCACTGAGTAGATATTCAATGCGGCCAAGATCTTCAGGAATGGTACTTGTTCGAACGACTGCTCCAGGCATACCGGGGTCACGTTGTATGAACCAAGAATAAGCGCTTTTGCCCATGTCAAGGTTGACACGAAGACTGATGGGAACAATAGTAGAGAATAGAACCAAGAATCTCATGATCTTGACGTACCAAACATTATCCTTGGTATTACCGAAACCCTCGAGCGCGACAAGAATAATTGAGAGAGCCAATGTCAGTGCACACAGTATCTTGGTCAAGGAGTTGATCTCATATTCCAGCAAGCCAGTCTTGGAACGAGAAGGAGCTGTAGAAAGGGCGGAACGTGTCTGAGGACCAGTGTACATGATGACAGCCAGGGTCGTGGCTTGGGAGGCGATGACAGTGTTAGCCCAAGCCGTGTTGTCGATCGACAGGGCAGCCGTATGAGATGCATCAGACTCCCCTATTGTTGCATGATGTGCCAAAGCATCCTTCCGTGACTCGACCAGCTCAATCGTACCCAGAAACTCGTTGACCTTTCTGTCTGGCTTTCCGCCAGTAATACGAAGACGGACGAACTCTTCAGTCGGTAAGTTTTGCGTGAGTGGTGAAGCAAGTCGGAGCTTCCAATCCGTCTCACCATCCAGCTGGTCGGTTCTGATAAAGGTCTCACCTCCTGGTCCACTTTCTGCCTCTTGCTCTGGAGCTGCTTCTGCAGGCTGTTTCCCTTTTCCTTGTGGTTCTTCGCCATCGAAAGCTAACAAAGTCTCTTCTTCCGCGGGCTCCTCGGGAATTGGTGCAGGCGCGGGCGCTTCTGAAGATAAACATTTCAATATGACAACATCAGCGGGTACACGTTGGCCCTTTGTAAGTTTGAGGACGTCGCCAACCTTCAAGTCCTTAGACTTGCGGCTGACCTCAACCGCTCGTGAAGATGGGGGTGGCGCCTCGACGTGCTCCTCTTCTAGGATATCAGAGAGGTTCTCTCGTGCTCCTTTCGACTTCTTTCTTGAATGTTTCTGTAACACCTCCGACTTTAGCAGTTTTCTCTGGCGAACTGGGGTCTGCGTTAAATCGGCATCCTGGAAGACAATGACTTTATATTCCTCCGAGTTGGCTTCAGTATCTCTTCGCCGCCGAGCAATATCATCAAACGCCTCCTTTCCCATGGTGATACAAAGCACAAATGCCAGCGGAGCGATGTATGTGAGCAGATAACCGATTCTCAGGGCAGGTATCGCCTGCGATAGTGCCACGAGTAGGAAGTACATATTAAAGAAGAAGGAGAATTCGTTGTAGAGAGTGATTGGGAGGAATGTCAAGGCGGTGTACTTGGCGTTTGAGATAATGTTGTTCGGAAAGCGTACGGGCTGGGTTGAGCCTACGGCAACATGGCGGGATGAGGAGGGATCATCATCTTCTCGGTCCTCCGTGTCGTTCGGGTCTGGTTTCTTGGAATTTGACATGAAACTGGGAAGTCGTATCCGTGAGGAGACTCTATCCGAGTTGATGGACCTCCGACCCTGTGAAGGCTGGCCTCCCAGTAATGGCTGGTCATCTTCATTGTAGCCACTTCCTTCTGACCATTGGGGCGTGCTGCTGTTATGGTCGCCCAGTAAGGCCTGTGAGTGCTCGTCGTTCCCATCTCTATCCCGACCGAGATCACCATACCCCCGATTCCGCTTTCCAGCACGCCGCAGTCCACCCATACGCAGGTTTCTCAGGGCTATCCGCGAAGTCTCGGGCTCAGTGGAAGGATGCTCTTTATTAGCCCTTGGGGCTGGTGTGGTTGATATTGGGTCGAGCTCCTGGATATCGAGATCGAGATCGGAATCGGAGTCATTCGCAGGCGAATCGGGTGGGTCGGAAGGTCGATATTGTTGTAAGGGCGGCATCCCTGGCTACGCTCCTGCTGATAGGGAGGTACAGAATAGATGTTGTGTGGAAGTGGTGAAGTTATGGGAGATGGAAAGCTAGCAGTGCTCCTCAGACATGCTGTGGCAGTGATGTGACAGAGCTATAATTTTCCTTTGATTCGTATTTGCCGTCCTTTAAGACCCTAGGCCTTTGCTCTTGTTGTTGAGTATGAGAATGTGATTATGTCTCTCTATTATTCGCCTATGTGTCGTTGGCTGCCGTCAATCTTTGGTATGGAGTCTCTTATCCGTGTCGCATTTATTTCAGGGTCAAAGTCGCAAAGGAATCCACGGGTCGGTCGTCTCGTCGGCGAATTCGTACGGTTTACGGGTGTCGTAATTAGTGGAACAGAATCCAGATGTTTGTTTCTTTTTGTACAGTAGGTGTTTGTTCGTTGAGAAAAGGTGACTCGTTGCTTGGCTCATAAGGGGACAGATCATTTCAAGACCGGGCAGCGCATTACCATTGTCGCAGCCTGAGTGCGCTATAGTTAAGCGTCATTTGGGAGGCGCAACCTCCCAAAGTGTCCCACTACCAGTTAGAGGTTCGGGCAGGTACATCTCAACATGCGGCACATGCCCCTTGATCGAAGTACCTCTAAGTAGCTTAGTGGGGCGTGATAGTAGCTAACATAGATGCCCGTTCCTGACAGATTACGTGGAAGCTGCCGCTAACTAACTACCTCTATCCTGGCAGCCTAGACAACATCTAAAAGTCGTAAAATATAATAGTAATACGGCAAGTTGGATTAAGCCGACAATTTGTTAAGCTGGAATATCCATTCCAAGAACCCAACGTTGATTTTTTACTGTCTTTTTACCTAATATCAGAAATAAATAGTAACCCTTCTTATTCTTGCAGCATATGGTGACGTCTAATGATAAAATACATCCATCATGAATTGTATGTGTTATCTATATGTCAGGATTTTTAGACTATCATACCTCATCATTCTGTCGTAGTTTAATCACAAAGAACCACCGCAAGTACCCAATACGTAAAAAAACACATATACCATCTGATAAATGGTATTTATTTCCAATAAAGTAAACGGTTCGACATACAGAAGGATGGAAGTCACTACAGGGTAGCCACGGCCAAGATTTTGCACGTGATCGTCATAGCGCGAACGCGCCTGGTATTGAGAGCTGCTCGTTGGCTCAGCTTCAGTCGCAAATATTTAGAAGCTTTCGCGACACCAACCATCACCATTATACTCAACGACCCCGCAAGAAAAACCATCTTTCTACAAGCCGAATAACCGCGCCGATAAAACCGATATAAATATACACATCAGTCGATCGATTCGACACCTGTCGGCACCATGGTCCAAATCAGCGAGGTCAAGGGCAACAAGCGAGACAACCGTACGGCTGCCCATACTCACATCAAGGGCTTGGGCTTGAAAGCCGATGGATATGCAGAGAAGCAGGCGGCCGGTTTTGTTGGCCAAGCAGCCGCGCGCGAGGTAAGGATCGCAACATGCGAGCTTCACTAATCAATGCTTACTTATCTGTATTTAGTCATGTGGCGTTGTGGTGGACTTGATTCGAGCTCAGAAGATGGCTGGCCGAGGTGTTCTGCTCGCAGGAGGTCCTGGAACCGGAAAGACAGCTTTGGCACTCGCCATCAGCCAAGAGCTGGGCACCAAGATCCCATTCTGCCCTATCGTCGGCAGCGAAATCTACTCGACCGAAGTAAAAAAGACTGAGATGTTGATGGAGAACTTCCGACGAGCCATTGGCCTCAAGGTCCGAGAGACGAAGGAGGTGTATGAAGGCGAGGTCACAGAACTCACACCCGAGGAGGCTGAAAACCCTCTAGGCGGTTACGGCAAGACCATCAGCACGCTGCTGATCGGACTCAAGAGCGCAAAGGGACAAAAGAAGCTTCGCCTCGACCCTAGTATCTACGAGGCGATCCAGAAGGAGAGAGTTACGGTTGGCGATGTCATCTATATCGAAGCGAACACCGGCGCTTGCAAACGAGTTGGACGATCTGACGCCTATGCTACGGAATTCGACCTCGAGGCGGAAGAGTATGTGCCCATTCCCAAGGGTGAGGTGCACAAGAAGAAGGAAATCGTGCAGGATGTTACTCTGCATGACTTGGATGTGGCAAACTCTCGTCCCCAAGGCGGCCAAGATATTATGAGCATGATGGGCCAGCTGATGAAGCCCAAGATGACGGAGATTACGGACAAGCTGCGTAGCGAGATCAACAAAGTGGTTAGCAAGTACATCGACCAGGGTGTTGCTGAGCTTGTGCCTGGTGTTTTGTTCATCGATGAGGTAACACTTCCACCCCTCTTGTCTTACCTGGAACTGTATAGCTAACAATATGCTTAATAGGCGCACATGCTCGACGTGGAGTGCTTCACTTATCTGAACAGAGCCCTCGAATCGCCCATTGCCCCCATTGTGGTCTTGGCTTCTAACCGGGGAATGTGCACCATCAGAGGCACTGATGACATTGTCGCAGCCCACGGAATCCCATCTGACTTTCTCGCACGAATGCTCATCATCCCCACAACGCCCTATGAAGCAGACGAAATTAAGCGTATTGTACGGATACGATCGACAACTGAGGGCGTCTCAGTGTCGGATGCTGCCATTGACAAGATCTCTGAACACGGTGTCCGCATCAGCCTGCGGTATTGCCTGCAGCTCCTAACCCCTTCGAGGTAAGTTTAAGTCATTATGGCGAAAGGGGAGACCCTGAGTTGCGTTGATCTGAGACATGATGGCTGACTGAAGAAACAGCATTCTTGCTAAGGCCAACGGCCGCTCGCAAATCGATGTGCAGGATGTTGCTGAGTGCGAGGACCTGTTCCTTGATTCGAACCGAAGTGCCGCCCTTCTTAGCAGCGAGGCTGGACGAGGATACCTCGCGTAAAACGGAGACGGCTGCAAAGTCGGATGAAGCTGAATTTTCGGTCTGAAAGGCGCTGGGTGCGTGGGAAGACGTGTCATAATTACTATTTTTAAAGGGGGCTACTGGTAGATGGGAAAAAACCTGACCTCTAGCTATTGTGTACTTGATAGGGAACCATGGAATACTACTACAGAGGTTTGGCGTCGGGCTGGCTCACATTGACCACATCGTTTACGAGAATGGCATTTGCAAACTCCTGCCTCGGTTTAGCTCCCTTTGAGCAAGTCTCCCTTGTATTGCCCGCCCATTATGCTATGCTATGCTATGCTAACTAATCCGAGACTCAGACTCAGATCAAACAACAAAGTGACCCCTCCCACAAGCCCTTTGATCTTTCACCACAGGCCAAGGAAGATGTCGGATGGGATTGGAGGACACACCTACAGCAATCCTGCGTCACCAATCCCATCTCATTTCAGCTGCCGTCTCTAAGCCTTGGATTGTTGGTCCATATTCTGTATTGGGTTAGCTACAAGGGGTACATATCAGTTTGCCCATCACGTGCACCACATATCATTTCGGCGACGGCATTGTCTTTGTTTCAGTCTCCTAAGCATTCCAGACCCAGACCAAGACCAGACATAGTCCACATTCCGGTATTGCATAACATAGCTCATCGCAGGACAGGGTAGCAGGCACATCATAGCATTGTCAAGGTTAAAAAGAGGCTGGGCTTAGACAAGGGGTAAGGATGAGAGAGAGAGTGAGTGCCCGGGCTATTTGCGTGGACGGTATTAACTCACATCATAATGAGAGGACGTGCTTCACAAATGAAGACAAAAAGATCAACCAGGGAGAAAAGGGAGGAAAGGTGATATATCATGGCAAAGTCCGTGAGTAGTGATTCCCTTTGTGCGTTTCTTGTCTCCCGTTCCGTTTCGTTGGGCCCTATCACATTGGCACTCGCACATTCACTTTCTTTCACTCACTAATAGACCCTGTCTCTTTTTTCGTCCTACTCTACCAGGTACTGCAACTGACTGTGGAATATACCTTGTTCCCTGCTGCCGCTGTATGATTCCTAGTGGATGAGTGGCTGCAGAGATAGTTGCCGACAGATCAAACGCAGGACCAAGCTTAAGTCCAAACAGCAGAATACCGTAACATGCATGGGTGTTTTACGCTATCCACTCGCTCATCAGAACATTTAATTTATTCCGATTTCGGCAGAGGGAACACCGTGGGGAAGAGCTTGGATCAAACGAAGAGAGAAAAAGAAAAAACAACAGTGAACGCAAGAGCAGGGCAGTGGAGTGATAAGAAAAGAAAAGAAGGGGAGAGGAGAAGAGACAGATCAAAGAGAGCAAACGATAATGAAAGCGCGCCTAATTTCCAAGTTTAGGCCGTGAAAGGAACTCAGAGAAGACACTGGTGCAGTTTCATTGTTCTCTGGAGGCTACTGAATGGGCTGCCGTCAACACACAAAGAGCTTGGCACACTGCACAGACTGCGCTCCCAACACGACGAGAACTATCTGTTTACCCATATTCTTTGAGCTAAAAGAGGGAAAAAAGAAGACGAAATTATCTTCTTGAACAAGGAGCATCATCGTGTCAACCGGGGCTTTTGCCTCATTACTTCATATAATCTGCCCTCTGCTTGGGGCTATCCGTTCGTTATATCAACTCTCGTTTCATCTCATCTCATTTTATACATCGGCTTTCTGCTGGTTCGACATCACTATACGCCACCAGGGATACAAGGTCAGCATATCCCCAATCGACAAGTACCTTGAATTGCTTTCTTCCCGTTAGTTTGTCATATACAGACAGCCCCCAATGAAGGCAAAAATGACACAGGTCATCTCTTTGGTTACGCCGTCCCAGGCTATGACCCCGGCCCACTCCTCCCCCATGGGTTCTGATGACTACGGCAGACCCCGGTTTCGTGCCTTGCCTGATACTCCGGACTCACCCAGTCCTCGCACTTCTGGTCTGAGTAGAAAACGTGCTGCTTCCATCAACACTGTTGATGCAAGTTACGGTCGACTTGAGAGGCTCCAGTTGAGCACGCCTACCAGCATGGCCAGTAATGAGGGGACAAGAGATATTTGTCTCTGTGCTCCGGTACCAAAGATTCCCAGACCTCGAAATGGTGAGTTGCATCTTTCTTTGTTGAGTTCATATCATCATCGCGATATCGATTGTATGAAGTTTGTGGATAGTGGCAGTACCCCTTCCATACAAACTTTGTGCTGTCTGTTCATGTTTTCTGTTTAATAACGCGATGTAGCATTCATACTATATCGTCAGCATCATCAAGCTCAGGTTGTTGCTCGGAATCCTAATCTATCTAACCCTGACATCTCAAAGATCATTGGAGAGCAGTGGAAAGACGAACCCCAAGAAGTCAAAGACAACTGGAAGGGCCTGGCAGACGAAGAAAAGCAACGCCATCAAAGACAGTACCCTGACTATCGTTACCAACCTAGACGTGGAAACAAGTCTCAGGGGCTCAGATCTGGCTCTTTGTCAGGAGACGAATCTGGCCGATGTCCCAGGTGTAACCTGCGCTGCATTGTGACTCCCCAAACACCTTCTACCCCGTTTCCTACACTATCAACACCAGAAGATAAAGCTATCCCGTATCCATACACACAAGGCTTGCGAGGTGAGGAAGCAGAGGCAGCTCGCCGTGGAAGTTATGGTAACTTGCCTGTTATGAGACAGCGTTTTCCATTGCAGCGACCTGCGTACCGAGATATAGATGACTATGGGCCCGAGACTCCAGAGATGAAGAGGCGCCGTTTCAACTCAACTGGTGGCTACCACGCTGTATCCTCACCTGGAGCACGAACAATGTCGATGGGTGCGCCTCACCCACGGCCATATCCCGTCACTCCTCTCCCTGAGCCGCACTTTCCTCGATCAAAGTCTGGTCCAATGCCTCCCCCTCCGCGACCTGCAGCTGGAGGACCATGGCCTGACCAAGAATACCGCAGCCGAAACCCCTACGATGAGTCTCTTCGGCTCCCTCCTCTGCAGACTGCTGGACCAATGTCGCCCACAACAGCAACAGAAGTCGACATTCGACAATTGCAAACCCCAGTTACTGGGCTTGGGATCTCTCACCCTCGGGATCCCCAAGCTAGAAGCGTCGAGGCCATGGTTATGTCTATCCCGTTCGTTCGCAAGCTGGGGGTCCTTTCCAAGATCAACCGTACCGCGATTGGCACTATTGAACCTGGTAGCAAGGGAGCCGAGAAGCGAGGTGCTGTAATTGCGATTGAGGGACCAAAGCCGCGACTGTTGAAGCAGGTTGCTTCCCTAGTTGAGAGAACCCTCTTGCTATCTAACGAGGTGGTACTCAAGACATGGGGCAAGGAGCTAGATGACGAGTCAAGAACTGAGCGACGGGGTTCTCGGAGCGAGGAAGAATCACTGGATCCCGAAACCCAATTGGCATCATGTTTCGAAACCATGATCCATTGGCACAGAAAGTCACGAGAGATGGTAAAGCACATTACCGGTCACACCGGGTCGCCGACCAGCTCCAAGAGTGAGAAGGAGAGGGAGTCCGAGTCCCCAGTTTCTCGACGCGGCTCTGTGGACGAGGACAATGCTTCCAAGGGGAGCCGAGATGGCGCAAAGACAAAGACACCTGTGGCACTGATCAAGGAAGGGTTCAGTCTCACTCTTTCGGACGAATTTGCTTGTACAGTGCCCATATCTGATTCGTACGCACCTGTCGATCACTGGCAATGGATGGCCACTCTCTGGCGTGGCACTGTAGATCCTGACCTTGTGGTGTACGTGAAGCCTAGTCTGGAGGAGGAGATTGCTCAATTTGGATCAGTCGAAATAAAAGATGGGCTTATGACTGTCAGAATCGCTGTGGGCAAGGACATGGATGAGGCCACTGAGCGACGTCTAGCCTTTGAAGTGGTCGAGTGGGTAAGAGGCGGCAGCTTCCGACAGAGTCGTGACAAGTCACAATGATTGTAGCGCGTTAGTCATGGTGTTTTGGAGTTGGCATGGATTGGAGGGGTCACTTATTGTTAAAGTCGCATTAGTAACATTACAAAACATCTTCTTAGGTTGTCAAGGCACAAGGGGGAACCAACAATTTGCTTTATTTAGTACCACATTCCTCAACATCGGAGCAGAGTTCAAGTATTCAGGGAGGGGACTGGAGTTAACGGTGTCAATAAACTCATAGTGTTTGATCAAACGGTTCCCAGCGATGATTGCTTATTGGAAACAAAGTTTGGGTTATTCGAGCTAACAGAAAAGCGCCGCAACCAACAGAGCTTGAGAATAAAGAAATGTCTGAAGCTTTGTCCTACATCTGACGTCTTACAAGTGACGATGTGAAGTTATTGGCTCCCCCTGTAAGCCAGTGGATTGAGAGTTTTGCTACCCCTGCATACGCGGTACGTACCTGAGAGGACCGCTAACCGCCGGGAATGATTGCCGCCACAGCAATTTATCCGAAGGTAAACGCGCCCCCGGCTTGGGGGACCTGACGCTACGTTAACAGCTAGAGGTCCCCTCTAATCAATACGCGACTCAGGAGACTTCCATACCGTGCATACAACAGGCCCGCAACAACAACGGCAAGCTCAACGACATCGTGATAAGAACTTTATAATAGCGGCGCCGGCACGATGCCCCACGATTTCGACAATATATCATAATGCCAGATTTCAAGCCTGGGCAGACTGTCCAGCTCAACGATGGCCGCAAAGCCATTGTCCGCTTCGCTGGAGCTACACACTTTCAGGTCGGCGAGTGGATAGGCGTCGAATTGGAGGAGAAGACGGGCAAAAACGATGGCAGCGTTCAGGGAGAGCGTTACTTTGATTGCCCTATGGGCTATGGCATGTTTGTCAAACCTGTGATGGCCACTATTATAGCGCAAGCCCCAACACCGAAACCACCAGCTCGAAAGCCCTCGAGGCCGAGTAGCTATAACCCAGCTTCGGGAAGGGCGTCAAGCGCGGCGGGAGATGCAGGCTTGGGTAGGAGAAAGAGCCTGAATGCTCCCAGTCCGAGTCCGGTCCCTAGGGCGGCCCGGCCGACGAGTCTCACAAGGGTAGGTTCCGCTGTATACTTGTTCAGTCGAATGCTAACATTTACCAAGTCCCCCACAAAGTCTCCTACGAAGCAACTGAGTGGTACCTCGAGTACTTCCATCTCTCGGACAGGAACACCCTCGGGCGCGCGTGCCCCATCTGTAGGAGCGAAGCCGCGCGCTTCAGTTGGAGGAGGTCGCACATCTATGGGCCCTCCACCACCTATCGCTCGAACAACGAGACAACCATCTATATCTTCAACAATATCGAGACCTGGAGCAGCGCCGCCAAGGACCACTAGCAGTCGCATGTCGTTGACGGCACCGTCACGTCCAGGGTCTGCTGCCAGACGAACATCTGTCGATTCTCAAGCACGAAGGGGCTCGTCAGATAGAGAAGATGTTATTTCGCCTCCCCCCAAAGATAATGGAGACATTCTTTCACCACAACCCAGAAGCCCAGTTCAAGCAAGAACAAAGGCCCTCGAGAAACTTACAGCAGGACCGGCATCGCGACAATCTACACCGCCCACATCACGGAAGCCCTCGGCGACTAGCACGACTGGCGCGCCACGTCCTGCCGCAAGCACGGCGGCAAGCCGAGAAATTGAGGACCTCAAGGCCAAATTAAAGGTTTTGGAACGTAAGCGGGCTGAGGATCGGGACAAGTTGAAGCAACTCGAAACAGTGCAAAATGAGAGGGACAAATTCGAGAACGTCATACAAAAACTGCAACAAAAATATCAACCCCAGCAGCAAGAGAATGCTGAGTTGAAGAAATTGTTGAGAGAAGCGGAAATGCGACTAGAGTCTATCGAAGAGTTTCAGCAAGAGCATGAGAGCATATTAGAACTGGCCACTCTCGATCGTGAGATGGCAGAGGAAACGGCAGAGGTTTTGAGAGCTGAATTAGACGCTCTCAAGGAGAAGGCGGAAGAGATGGAACTAGAAGTCGAAGTGTTGAAGGAAGAGAACGAAGAATACAGCAAAGGAATGACTCCCGAGGACCGCGCGAGCACTGGCTGGCTGCAAATGGAACGAACAAATGAACGATTACGAGAAGCACTGTTACGACTGCGCGACCTTACTCAGGCATCCGAAGAGGAACTAAGAGACCAAATCTCAGGATTGGAGGATGATCTGAAGGAGTTCAGCACCATGAAGGAGGAATTTTCTGTCTGCCGAGAAAAGCTTGAACAGTCGGAGACTGCTGTTGAAGACCTGCGCCAACAACTCGACAACGCACTTGGTGCTGAAGACATGATTGAAGATCTGACAGAGCGAAACATGAGCATGTCAGAGCAGATCGAAGAGCTAAAGGCTGTCATTGACGATCTTGAGAGCCTGAAGGAAATCAATGATGAACTGGAGATTAACCATGTGCAGAATGAGAAGGAGATGCAGGAAGAAATGGATTTCAAGGACAGTGTCATTGCTGAGCAGGCTCGACGAGCGGGCCAGCAAGAAGAAGCACTGGAGGATATGGAGTACACTCTTTCACGATTCCGGGAGTTGGTCACGAGTTTACAGAGCGACTTGGATGATATGAGAGCCTCACAGGCTGTCACTGAGGGCGAGTCAGAGAAGCTCAACGACCGATCTCGCGCCATGATGGACCTCAACATGAAGCTGCAGATCTCAGCATCCAAGGCTCAAGTCAAGACAATTGATCTTGAGCTTCGACGATTGGAAGCCCAGGAAGCCGAGCAGCACTTGGAGATTCTTAAGCTCTTCCTTCCCGACACCTACAAGGAGGATCAGGATTCCGTCCTTTCTCTGCTTCGGTTCCGTCGTGTGGCCTTCAAGGCGAACCTCCTCAACAGCTTCATCCGAGAGCGACTCAACGGACAGCCCCATCCTGGACACGAGGACGATGTGTTTGCTGGTTGCGATGCTTCAGACAAGCTCGTCTGGGTGTCCAACATGTGTGACCGCTTTGTCAACGACATGACACATTGCACCATCGAGCAATTCTCCAAGTATCAGAACGCTTTGCACGAACTTGAGCCTGTTGAGCGCGCTCTCAACGTCTGGATCGATGGTTTGCGTCGGGATGACCTGAAGGAGAAGACATGCGCTGATGAACTTCACCGCACTATCGCCCTTCTTTCTCATCTTGGAGAGGTACACATCTCAAACAGCTTGGCCAACTATGCGGATGATGTCCACATGAAGGCCAACGTCATGCAGAGCCATCTGGACTCTGCGGCCGTTGCCTTCAACACCCTTCGAGGTCTTGTGCAACGCGTGATTCCTGCAGAGGGCGACGACGAGGAGCTTGCTCAGCACTTCTCCAAGAAGTCCGAGGCCGTTATCACAAATACGCGAGGTGCCAAGGTCATCGCTGCCAAGGCTGTACGAGCTCTCCAGGACTTGAGGACACGATCTCTGTCCTTGTTGCCTGATACTAATGAGGCCTTTGACGAATGCTGTGAGGCGACCAAGGAGCTTGCTAATCTGGCACGACAAATTGGCCTTGGCCTCCACAACCTGTTCCATGCTGACGAAGGCCGAACCGAGCCATTCACATACACAGAGGTCCAGTCTACTGTTCACAAGACTGTCCTCTCGGTGTGCACCTCAAGCGAGTCGGATATCTTCTCCACATACCTATCCAAGCTGCGGGATGCCACTACCCAAATCTCGGATCTGGCATCACTCGCCACCGACCTTGACCAGGTCCAAGAATTTGATGTTGCTACTGCTCCCTGGCGACTGCGGTCTCAAGAACTCAAGGCTCTCAAGACCATTCCCGTTGACGCCGAAGAGGAGCTCCGCCGTCTTAAGGAGGAACACAGCGAGGCTCGTCGCACAATCGCCCAGCGTGACGAGCACCTCAGCACTGCTGTTCTCAAGATCGAGACCCTCGAGTCTAGAATGCGTGACGCTCAGGCCAACATTGACCGCATTGCTAAGCTACAGGAAGAGCTTGAGGCTTCCGGTCAAGAAATTGGAGGTCTCAAGGAGGACATCGAGAAGCAAGACCGTGAACTCAAGAACCTTGAATCAGAGCGCGACAAGTGGAAGAAGATCGCCAGCGATAGCCGTGCTTACGCTGATGGTGCCGATGCTGCTGGTGCCAAGGCTGGTCAAGAACGCGCCGTTGCCACAGCACGCGAAATGGACGCCCTCAAGAAGGACGTCGAGAGTCTCCAATCAGCAGTCCGATATTTGCGTGAAGACAACCGCCGTGCCCGCACATCAGAGCAGCACAATTATGAGTGGCTGGCTGAGCCGCTCAAGAAGCCTACTTCTGTCACTGAGCAGCGCCGAAACATGATCGCCACTGAAGGCAAGGATGTACTCGGTGAGCTTGTCAAGATGGTATCCTCAGCATCGATGTACGACTTCTCCACCTTGCCTAAAGACAAGCTTTCTTGGAAGCCTGCTCGATCAACACCACAGTACCATGCTGCCAAGCAGATGGAAGACTATGCCGCTTGGGGAGCCTGGCAAGAGTCGGTACTCAAGAAGGCCCATGCCCTCCAGGGCCAGACGGCCAACACCGAGAAGAGAAAGAGGGCACCCGCAGCAGCTCGTCTGCGTATCAAGCTGCCTGTTGCTAATGGAAAGATTGTCCCTGGATCGGGACGCGAGGTTCAGATCGTGGGTTCTTCTGAGTGGGAGGCTCTGCAGGGCCGTTTGGCTGTATGATTGGTCATAGAATTACTACATACCCATTTTGTTGGTGAATTTATTGGTTTCAATAGTTTTGATGGATGTTGTACGTATCAGAGCGAACGAATAGCAAATCCACATAGTAGCAAGTTTTATCAAATCATTTCCCAGAAAAGGGGAATTTTTTCAATTGAATTCTTGAATCATTTCATCTTTTTGTTCATATGTGATCATGCTGGATCCCTGGGTATCTCTAACGTCCCAGACCATAGCGTATTCCCCCTTCTACATGCCGTGAATATCGCTCTCTCATGCCTTTCCCTTTCCCTTCTTATCCTTCTTCTTCTTGCCGCCACCACTGCTTTCTTCACCACCACCGCCACCTGCTTGTGCACCCATAAGAGCTGACATGGGATCTCCACCACCTTGCATCTCTTTCATCATATCCTTGAACAGGTTCTCCGAAACACCACCGCCTGTCATGGCAGCGCTCAGGTACGGCACCAGCTCACCCATCTTCCATCCTCGTGGCACAGCAGGCTTGGGGTAAGGCTTTCCGGGCTCGGGCTGTAGTTGACCACCCATGCGGACACGCAGACCGGGGCTGTCTTCAGTCGTAGGGTTGTCGCGCAGATGCTCGGCGACGAGGCGGTACAGGTGGTGCTTGTTCTTGACGGGGTGGCCGGACGACTTCTTCAGACCAACCTTGACACGGCCGGGGTTGGCCCAGTCCTTGGGATGCACCTTTTCGGGCTCAAACAACGTTGGTAGTCGTAGTCGCGAGCAGGCATTTGCGATCTCCCGCGCAAGAGGGTCCTTGACGGCCAATTCAGCGCCCACACGACGACCCTCGGCGCGAGACCGCGAGGCGTCAAAGTAGACGGGATAAAGGCATTGGAAATCGGCGTAGGCAGAGCGATCGGCCGAAGCAGGCATGGTGCTTCCGACGGGAGCATCGGCGGGGACGATGGCGGGTTCCTGGTGAGGAGGAGCTGTTCTGGGGGCGGATGAGGGTTCGACACGGCGCATGATATCAGAGTCGGCAAAGTCATCGATGTCGGCCTCGGCTGGGTCAGAGTCGAAGTCGCTGTCCGAGACCTCTTCTATTCTTGGGTGGGACATTTTTGCGGTTTTGATGGATCAAAGGAGGAGGGGTAAGAAATGGGAGGAAGATTCGATCGAGGCCCTGTGGTACACACGGTGGTGGCTTTGTATGCGATGGAAAACCAAGTCCCCCTAATGAAACAATAATTGAGGTCAATGGGCTCGGGTTGGTGAAGGTCGAGGTAGGTAGAGAGAGATATGGGGTACAAGTGGGACGTGGAAGGTGGCACTTTGATGAAGTCGAGAATGGATGTAGGATGAGCCTCAATGTGGGGTAACTTGCAGGCAAATAAAGTGGCCTGCAGTTAGACATATCGATGATTTGACATATATTCATATAGAAAAGGAAATGATTAAATGTGGTAAAATCTTATTGAATATTTTGTAAATGCCGTAGCCTTGATATTATAAAAAATTGACGATGGATACCGTATTACATCGTTAAGACAAGGTTATTCAATCCGTTCAGAAACATCATACTTCTCATAATCACATAAGCTCAGCAACCATTTGAGTAGATACCTCACTATCTCGCTTATTTAGGTATATTAGTAGATTTTACATCTATGAATTAAGAGAGTTCATTCAGCATTGTACAAGGGTAAAGCCAGATTAAGTGAATCATATTCGTTTCCAGCGAGTGTATTCGACATTCGTCTACTATTAACAAAATATAGGCCAACGAAAGGGGAAGAAAAAGGACGGCCAGAGAACAAAAAAAAAAAAAAAAAAAAAAAAAAAAAAAAAAAAAAAAAAAAAAAAAAAAAAAAAAAAAAAAAAAAAAAAGAACAAAAAAAAGAGAAAAAACAACGAAGTCTATACGTTCCACCCGCTAAATCCCAGTGAAGCAAGATTCCCGTGATTATCGCCCCTAGCAGCTCCTCCATATCGTTGTGAGGATGCTGCTTCTCCCAATACTTTTACCCAGTAAGTCTCCTTCCCTCCGGAGTCAGAGTCTTTGAAAACCGCACCTCTTACGCCGAGCCATGCAGTATAGGAGGAATCCATATAATGCCCACCCTAAGTATACCCTAGTGAATGCCCCTCTGTTAAGGGCAAGCTGAAGACCGCACAGACAACTATAAATAAGATGTCTCCGAGTCAGATACATCGACAGTTGGTGAGGTCTGGAGTAGAACCCGCAGACAAAAATCGAGGTCATGCCACTCGAACCGTTTCCCGATGTCAGATAGAATTTAATGAAAGTATGAGCTTGCCCAACTTAAGCCTTCTTAGGCTTGGGGCGAGGAAGGCCCTGTTCCCGACGAGTCTTCAAATCAATCTCGGCCAGACCTTGGCTGGCGTTGTAAAGCTGAACGCAGTTGATGAATTGCTTCATGAACATAAAAGGGAAGCTGATACCAGCAATAATCCAGGGCACTGTAGAGTCCATCTTGTTGGCACGAGCAAGCTCGAGAGCAGCGGGGCTGAAGGGATCAGGGAAGATCTGAGCGAGGATCGAGGTGTTGACTTGAGCACCAGCTTGAAGCTCGGCACCGACAATCTCGATAGGCTTAATGAGGTATGGCGAGACAAGAGGAGACGAGAAGCAGAGGAGGTAGAGCGCAATGAAGAAGAGCTCGTTGAGGGCGCAAAGGGCGAAGAGAACACCCTGGTGATGCTTAGTATATGACAATTGGGTGCAACTGTATTAGTGGTACATACCTTGTTGGTGTAGTAAAGGCGAAGCAGCCAGTTCTTGCTCTCATCAATGCTCTTGTGACTGGCATTACTACCCGAAACTACAAGAGTAGCATACATGTGCATGTAGTGGCTGGCAAGGTCGAGTGCAATCAAACCCTGGAAAACAATAGCCCATCGAGGGAAAGCCGAGGAAAGGAAGACGATGAGACAAGCTGTGGTACAGCGATCGGTAACCATGTCGAGGACAGCGCCGAAGCGGGTTGACTGCTCGTAGATACGCGCGGCGTAGCCATCAAGTGCATCGAGAAGGCATGACACACTGTAAAGGAAAGAACAAGTGCGAGGGTGGAGGGGCATGTAGTATAGGGACGCGATGGCGAGAACGATGCGCGCATATCCTAGACAACGCTTGTTAGCAATTCTGATAGGATTCCTTGGAGTGGTTCAGCTTATCATACCAATAATGTTGGGGTAGAAGAGGAAGATGTTCTCGCGAGGGGCATCGTCCGAAACATCCGCAGCGCGATGGGCAACACCGTTGCCGTTGGATCTAACTTCTGGCTCGGAATCAGAAGAAGAGGTATTCGAGGCCTTTGCAGCCTGTCGACGAGTTCTTGGGCTCATTGTGAAGGTGAGGGTTGTTTGTATGAATTAAGTTTCTGATTCAATCAAGTTGTCGCGATACCAAAGTGGTGTGGCTTATCATGTATCGTCTGGTATGGATCTGGATCGAGATAACGACAGATTCTGCGAAAGGGGCAGGGATCACTGGCGCTGTTGAAGCTGCAGTCAAGTCAGGTAGTCGGGGTCGGAGAAAGGGATGACAAAGAAGAGGGATTCTCGAATAAAGAACCGTTGATGTCGAAAAGGAGTGGATGTGAAGGAGGAGGAGGGTAAAAAAAAGAGAAACCCGTAAATAGGGAGCTTCACGTTGTGGATAAAGCAAAGTGTTAAGTTAATTACATTGAGTGTGATGACGGCAGAAGGCAGTAAGCTTAGGTAGGCGCAAGTCAGGTTTAGAGGCTCCCTTTCCCATTTCTTTGGATGAGATGGTCCCGCCAAGTGAATTACAGGGGGTTTCTCGGTAGGTTCGGACACGCTACACGGCCCGTTGAGAGCTTGGCTACGTGTTAATTGATGGACAAGATGTGCCATTTGCCCGCTTTGACAAGGCCAAGAGCTCCTCAAATTGACACCTATCCCCTGAAATGATATCCGCTCATGGTAAATTGTCAGCATCCATATCCTGGGAAATGGAAAGAGGGATGGCCCCCACTTTCAAGACCGGTTTCCTTGCAAATCTACCAGAGAACAACTCCCAAGACGTATGATTTACCTCTGGCAATTCCAAGAATCAAGACTATTGCAATGTCGGGTATGTGCCAGAGAAGGAAGTTAGCCTCGGCTTGGTAAATTGGCAGCACATGCTCTGGTGACGCGTATCATGACTTCTATTACCAATGAACAAGATCTCCAGTGTACGGAGCTAGCCCCTACACCTTGGGAGGTAATGCCCCAGAACAGACATTGCAGGGCAAATCATCTGGTAAAGGATGTGTAAGCGGCTAAGTAATAACTATGATGGGCACCACGGAAAGGTCAAGGTTATCATGACAGCTCAGGGTCATGGTATAGCACATCACACAGCACGGACTTCCTACAGAGTAGCATAACGCTTACTATAGTAGAATATTGGAGTTGCTTAATCCCGTACGAGAATTGTGAAACCCTGTATCAAGCTGAGGCAAGTTTGGGGAAGGGTTTCATCAAAGAATACGGATACGTATCTTTGCATATGGATAGGCTATGATGTGGCAGCAGGGATAGTCTCAGAAAAGTATTTTATCTAAGACGACTTGGCCCATTTAAAGCGAAATCACAGTATGCTGAGGACTATCATCGTCCTAGTTTTAATATGCATCTATGTTTTGACAATTCTCCGACGTGTGCACCATGAACAGTCGGAAGCTGACCTTGAAACAAAAGTCGACTTCAAACACACAACGGTTCAATGCAATTCTGGCTGGACTCTGACCTCGTTTATTTTATTATCCTTGCCGCCGCTAGATATGTGCCTATTCAGCCATTGTGACTTGGCTTCTTTTCTCGTGTATGCGGTTTTTCACTATAACACGTCATGAGAGACCCAGGTGAACCCTATAAGAAGCCACTCTTAATGTCCTGCGGTTCATTGAAGATACCATATTCCAGATCTAGCCTCCGTTGTCCACGGCTGGCTGTTGACAATGACCTGCCAAGCAACATGGCCAATCTATTAAGCTAAGCAAACTCAATGTACAATGCATATTGCCTGATTGTGGCGGTGGCCTAGATTTAGCCTGCGAGAGTTTAAGTTTCAAAATAGCCAAGATAGTCACCGGCATTTGATGTGAATCCGATATGTCACTAGAGTGCCGGCCGAAGGTAGGTGGTGGGACGAGAGTGTTTATGATATCAGATACATGACTTGTGACGAGTATCATCAAAGTCTCAAAGCTTCAGTTGAAGTTAATAGTGGTATCATGGCACAAACGGATAACCACAGATATACAGTAATCCGTATCTACTCCGTAGAATTCGGAAAGCTGTCCGATGTAGTCAATAAAGTTGTCCGAGTATGCTGTACGGGAGTGCCGGAGAGTGGAGAGGGTCCTGCGGCATAGCCGAGACGCCAAACGAGTTAGTAGCTAGATGAGACCCTTGCTTTTGCTTTTTGGGTTTCTGCTTTAGGTCAAAGGGCTTTGAGTGCCTGCGTTCAAGTGTGATGTAGTAACAGCAAGGGTTCACTTACACATGTTTCGTTTGTGGTTGCCTTAGGCATGACGGAAGTCCGAGAATCCGATTAATGAAGGCCTGTAATTTGGGACAAGCAATAGACAGTAACTAGTAGGCATTCTTAGCATCACAAGCTTGTGCATAAATCTGTCAGAGTATTCTCAATACTTGAGAGAATGTCTGGAATACAGGCTTGGTCTAACAGGGTCCCTGGTAGAGCGGACTAAGGTTACAAGCAAGGGAATGGCTGCTTACAGAACCCAAGACCCTGGCGACGATCCGGGACGGTCAAAAGTAAAAGCCCGAGCTTGATCTTGAGCTTCATGCAGTTGCTAGTGAATCTGAGGAAGGTAGAGGTGGTAGTTACCTGTTTGGTATCACTAGGATATCTTAACAAAAGCCATAAATGGCGCCATAGTTCTATATAACTACATATTGTTCACCGATATCTTAGTAGGTGGTGGTAGTCGGAGGAAACGGTGGTGCCTTGCATGGGTAGTCAAGTATTGTCACGGCACTGTCATCTCATTGCCGATTGATCCGTTGTAGGATAGAAGTTTCCAACATATAATGCATGCTATACAGAGTACACGTTTTGAAAATTATACCCACTGGCCCGAGAAATAAGTGCTATTGTCACGGGTCAGTCGATGTGCTACCTGACTGTCTGCCTTTCGGATGCTTATCAGACAGTCAGTTGAGAAGTTGAGATACATGTACACGACAGGTACCAAACCCAAAAATATGCTCTTTCACTCCACCGTCTTGCCGTTGCGACGTCTTGATTACGAGCCGACTTTAGGCAACACATTTCGAGACGGCCAGCCTGTTGTAGATTCATGCGTGAAGGCTCAGCGGATCTGTATGCTGCAATTCCAGGTCAGTTGTCGTACTTGATTCCTTGCCTCGTTAGCTCAGCTCGCCTTTCCTCCGGGCTGTACATGTTGCATCCGCTCGTTGTCCGCGGACACGGTTGTTTGCGGCAATAGTTTGAATGCCGTGTAACAAAGCTAGATGATTACTTGGAATCTCTCACCAACACAGCGTTGTAGTAGACCTAAAGTTCCTTGAACTCGGCAGCTGGTTAAGCCTGCCTTTGTGGATATGGGAGTGGGAATGGGCCCGTTGTAAGCAGAACGTTGACATTCATCTGCGCTTATTGATGGTGGAAGAGGTTAATAAGAGGGCTAGTGAAGTACTATAGTCCGCATAGTGCCGTGCCATATCCGTTTTGGCATTAAAAGCGCCCTGCCTCTGGGCTGAAGTTGAACAGATCATTTAAGCCCATGTTAGCAATGATCCTCGATTTTTGGTCTGATCCCTGATCGTCGGGTTTAGGTGCAGCTAAAAGCTAAGACCTCGACACTGTCTAAGTCTCGATAGAAGTCGATGTATTGGGATAAGTAACATTTAAAAATCGTCCGATTTTGTTGACCCAAGCTTTCAGTCTAAGCAGCTTGTCACTGTCACTTCTCGTCTTGTCTCGAATCGGCTCCTCAGCTCTGTCTTCTTAGTGCCCCCCACGACGCCCACGTCACTGTCACTACTGGTGGTAAAATGGATCTATGGGGCTTAGACATTGCGAAAATAGACTGGAGGCCTTAGGGCTAGGGGAAACAATTGAATTCCTGTTGCCTTTGGGCCAATCAATGCTTCATAGAGAAAGGTAGTCTGTGTTGTTCGTGTGCCGGTCTTTTGATGCTGGCTTGACTGAGACGAGTATCAGGAGGTGAACATGCTTACAACGTGGATCGATACACAAGGTGGTGGTGTCAAGTAAACATATCGGATCAATTCCGAGTTTCTTAATAAAACACATACTTACTCGTCGAATCGATTGACCGGGTTAGTGGACGGTTTGTTATCAACGCCCTGTACTGCATCTAATAGCACCTACAGTAGCCATAGTGGCTCAGGTCATCCGCTCTTTAAGATCTTCGCCTATTTCATTCATCCTCCGATCACCGGCCAAAGTAGAATAAGCCAGCATCAAGTTTTTGTCTCTTTCCTCCTCAGTATTCTGTCATAAATTATCCATGTCAGTTCCTCATATATGCGGTGTGTTTGTCTTTTATATCGTGCTGTTAGTACCTACCACCTACCACGGTTAAAAGAACAAACAATACTCCAACTAGGCCTTGTCTTTTTTCCTCTTCTCTTGCCCTGAATTTAAGCCTTAAATACCTTAGCTTCTTTCCACCTAGTACAGCAGTAGCCTTTTCGCTTGCAAAGGAAGCTAAACTATTTGGTATACACACCTCGGCAGCCACTAAAGGTCCCTGTCGTCGAATACTAACATCTTGCCCTGTCCCAATCAATCTCAGGGCCCCTGCCTGCAGTAGCCTTGTTTTGTCGGTTGCCGCCTCACAGAGACAAGTCGGTCGGGCTGTGGATTGTCACTTTTCACTTTTTTACCTGGACCTGGCTGGACCTGGACCTGGACCTTCCCTGACCCAAGTAACTGTATCCTTTCGCCTCGCCAAACGCTTACCGGTACTTGACCTTGTTCACCTCCTCTCCCGCCTCTTTTATTTATTTGTTCACATCTCTTATACTCTTCTTCTCTCCCAGAGTATTGTTCGTTCTCTACACCATCAGTCATATACTCCTCCATCCTCCTCCTTTACACCGGAAGATAAAACCCGTCAAGACCCATTCGGGCTAAGCTAATAGGATCTTCACCCCTCGTTCCTACTCGAGGCTCTTGGCTCCGTTTTTTCAATTTTCCCCAGCTTCCCCTCCATCAAACCGCCACTTGCGCCAGTTCATCTGTTGAGAAACTCTGTGCGGATTGATCGAGAACGAGTATCGAGATAGCGGACTTCTTGCGACTCTGAGGTTTACATATTATCACCATCGTGCAGCCATCTTTGGTATTGGCCATATTCGTCTGATTTGATCTTCAAACTTCAACACCATGTCGTCGCATCCGTCCCTCAAGGCGACTTTCGCCAGTCGAGCTGAGACAGCCTCTCATCCTCTTAGCCGACATCTCTACAAACTTATGGACCTCAAGGCCTCGAACCTTTGTCTCAGCGCCGATGTCGCAACCGCCCGCGAGCTCCTCTACTTCGCCGACAAGATCGGCCCCTCTATCGTCGTCCTCAAGACTCATTATGACATGGTGGCTGGCTGGGATTTCGACCCCCGAACAGGAACCGGTGCCAAGCTCGCATCGCTAGCCCGCAAGCACGGTTTCCTCATCTTTGAGGATCGCAAGTTTGGTGACATTGGCAACACGGTCGAGCTGCAGTACACCAGTGGTGCTGCCCGCATTATCGAGTGGGCACACATTGTCAATGTGAACATGGTCCCTGGAAAGGCTTCTGTTACGTCTTTGGCTCACGCCGCCAACCGATGGCTGGAGCGATACCACTATGAGGTCAAGACATCTATCAGCATTGGAACCCCTACGGCCAGTCAACTAGACGAGGACAGCGAGCGCTCAGATGGCGAGAACCAAAAGAGCGCACCTGAACTTGGCCGCGACAACGGACGCAAAGGCAGCATCGTCTCTACCACTACCGTCACTCAGCAGTACGAGTCGGCCGATTCACCACGCCTCGTCAAGACGATCCCCGAGGGCGACGAAACAGTATTCGCCGGTATCGACGAGGCACCTATCGAGAGAGGTCTGCTTATCCTAGCACAAATGTCAAGTGAAGGCAACTTCATGAACAAGGAATACACACAAGCTTGTGTAGAGGCCGCGCGGGAACACAAGAGCTTTGTTATGGGTTTCATTTCACAGGAGTGTCTCAACACACAACCTGACGATGATTTCATCCACATGACCCCTGGCTGCCAATTGCCTCCTGAGGGTGCGGATGAGAACGAGGCTATCAAGGGAGATGGCAAGGGTCAGCAATACAACACACCGCAGAAGATTGTTGGTATTGCAGGTGCTGATATTGCCATTGTCGGACGTGGAATTATCAAGGCGAGTGACCCCGAGGAGGAGGCTGATCGATACCGATCCGCAGCGTGGAAGGCTTACACAGAACGCGTTCGTTGAGGGAGGGTTCTGTGTAAAAGTCGGGTTGGCCTTGTCGTTTTTTTCTTCTTTTTTGGCGCGGTAGACATGCTGGACTGGAGTTATTGAGACATCTAGCGGGGGTCTGACATGAATGCAGTACCTTCATCATGACTGCGTGGGAGCAGCCATGGAAGTAACTCACCCACAAGAACAATAAGAATCTGATCCCTGAATTTGGGACATCATAAGCACTATGCTTCTGTCCAACTGCATAAGCCTGGTTTCCACATCGTCGCCTACGTTAATGATACCCGAGCATCATGATTCAATGAGATTCAGTATTAGATAAGCCACAGCATTAGCATTTGAGCCCTGGAGCCTTTCAACAACGCCACCTGTATCAATGACGCTTCAACGTGCTTGGCTAATCCAGCTTATATGCATGGCCCCTTTCTTCAATGGTGCCGATCTTTTCAAGAGGCACAGGCATGGAGGTGTGGCAGGGCTGAAATCCAGATTGGGTACATGCAACCCCACCATAGGAAGTGATTCTATTCCTTGGAAGCTCGGACTTAAGGGAATCGAAAGCTGACCTTCGACTTCCAAGACATTGATCGATATCATACCTCTCATACTCATACGATTACTTGATGTTTGCTCAGATAGAGTAACCAAAACCTTACACAACCCTATTGTGTGAGAATAAGGTTGCTCTAGTGACGAGGCTGCGTGAATCAGAGCTGTTAGACTTTGAGGAACACCCACATCAATACGTCTCATACTCAACATCGAATTTCAATCTCTTTATAGTCTGGTACTTGATCTATACGCTACTGATATCCTGCGCGGACTCTTGATTATTTCCATACTATTTCCGGGATCATCATGACAGCGTCCGCAACTGACGATGGTCCTCGTCTGAAGAAGAGAAGACGAATTATCATATCGTGCACTGAATGTCATCGACGAAAGCAGCGGGTTCGTAGCTCTTGAAATCTTGAAACCAAGTTATTCGATTCAGAGATAAGATTTCGAAACTGACAAATTATACAGTGTGATCGTGAATTACCATGTGGGAATTGCAAGTCTCGGAATAAAGAGTCGGGGTGTGTTTACGAGACAGGCGCACCAACAGCTAAGCAGAGCCAACATGGCCATCAAACCACAGAAACTTCGCCTGCTCTATCAACAGCCCCAGTAAAGAAGACTGAGCATTCACCGTCTGGATCTAGCGACTCGCTTGATAATGGGCCAAACGAGCCTTTGTCGTCCAAGGCTGCTGATTGGGGGTACGCCCATAACGGGGCATCTACTATGGGCATCCTTAAGCGTATCGAAACGCTCACCGACGGCGAAGAGAGCGCTGCAGATTTCTATGCCAAGTCTCAGGATTCAAACGCTGGATCGCATGGCAAAGAGCTTGCTTTGAGAGAGAAGTACAAAGCCATCATTCGCCAATTGCCAGCCAGGGATTACATTGACAAACTGGTAGAAATGTATCTACACAGCTTTAACTGGCAGTACTATGTTATTGATCCTGACATATTCTATACTCAGCTACAGGAATGGAATTCGCTACCATTCTCAGTACTCTCAGACATTGGTCCTCGCGGATTGAACCCTGAGCTGCAAGCATTTCCAGCTGTTGTTTTTCAGATCATTGCAACCGCGCTTCTCCTACTACCAGAGCGATCTGATCCAACATTCGACTCGCTCAAGTTTGCAGGCGGTATGAGCTTTGAGGATCTGGCTATTGAATACAGCGAGTCGGGACAAGAAGTTGTTGATCTTTTGGGGAAGAAGCACCTTTCGTTGGCAACAGTTCAAGCACAATTTCTCCGGGCATCGTTTCACAAGTTTACAGCCAAGGTGACTGATGCAGTAAGTATCACTTGGGGGTTTGTCAAGAACGACGACTAAAGTTTTGAACAGTGGCATACAATATCTGTAGCAATCCGCGACGCCCAGGACCTGGGGATGCATCGCGACAGCCTGGATCCTAAAGCCGCGGATTCAAGTGTGGAAAGTATCTTGGAAAACCAATGGCTGATCCAGAGGAGACGAAGGATCTACCTACTACTTGCTATCTGGGACTTGAACTGCGCCATGATCCTCGGGCGCCCGGGAACGGTTGACTGGAACCAGACTCTTCCCACACCTCCAGTCGATGCGCCCATACCCCAGAACCGTAATAAAACACCAGTCGTTCCTCGAGGGGAGGATGATCACCCTACACCCATAACACGACTCCTGTGGAATTACCAGCTCTGCAAGCCCTTGCGAGCTATCCAGAACCTCGAGGTCCGGGGCTCATATCCTTTGGATTCAGAAGAGATCGATCAAATTCATCAGAGTATACAGGATCTAGACAAGACGATCCCGTCTTCCTTCCGTATGGATAATCCAGACACACGATGGGATCACCTCCCTGAGGCACACTGGTATACGGCAAACAGATACTACTTTGCAAGCTTACACGGGTTCAGCAAGATGGCTCTTCATCGACCATTCATCTTCAATCGCGCGGAGAGTAGGGCGGAGGCCATTCATGCAAGTCTCAAAACGCTCGAGATCCAGAAAATGACGTTTGAAGGACTTGCGCCAGACTCGTGGAGAAACTTTATGCTCTTCTTTGCAAGTTTTGATGCTATCGTATTGCTTGCATCCGTATATATCCTGTTTCCTCGAGAGCATGCAGAGTACACAGACAAGACGATAGAGCACTTCAAGTGGACCATTGAACGCTTCTCCGCGATCCAGGAGCGTAACCCGCTGGCCAAGTCTGCTCAGGGTGTATTGAGAGCCATCGTTGCCCGGTTCAAAAGAGCCATATCGAAGGCCAGAGATGGTTCAGTGCCGTCTCTGACCGAAGGCTCTACGGCAGGGTCAGGCAAGACAGCTGCGGGTTCTACGCCAGGCAACTCAACGCTGGGAAGTGGCGACTTTTCGGGACTGATGACTACGGATTCGACGTGGATGCTCCCATCGGCGGATGACATGAACACGATGGCACCTTTCTTTCCAACTGGTGATCTGGTATACAATGACCTTACGGCGGGGCCTGGTCTGGAGATGCTTCCTTTACCGTTGACAGATGATCAGACATATGATTCAATGTGGCAGTTTGGGGGAGGATGGGGAGATGATACTGTTTGGCAAGTGTTGAATCAGTTTCCAGCTGCGCCAGAGGCGGGTGCTCCTAATTTCGTCTGACGCTTTTACCACACATCGCGGTAAATGCTGAATGTCTTCCTCTATGCTTGTTTTGGGTACGGTGGTTGAGTTTGTCCGGAATAAAGATAATCGGTAGGATAGTGTGGTCTTTACGGGTCAATCATGAGGACAGTCTCGAGTAGGGTTTCGAGGACAAATTAAGATACGCGAAAACAAACTCCTGTTCGTACCCGGCTTTGCAAACAACAAATTTGTTTCCAGAAACTCTATACCTGAACACACATTTCTCTTCCGACCAGTGACGGGGAAACACAGTGAGTTTCATCGCTTGCCAACATGCCAGATTTAGTATACTGCATAAACCCATTGGCTGTGCAATCTGATCGGGTCTGGAGTACTATATAGCGCAGAGCCTGATATACTGCCCAACAGTGTGACTAGGTAGTGATAGATCACAGCAACCAATACCGGGTTACTATCAGAAATTGGGTTGACTAGCGAGAGTATAAGGATTTGATCTGAGATATCATAAACCTATCAACTGGATTTATCGCCAAGTGATTTGCTTTTTACATATCAAGACTTGGGGATTGGGCTTTCTGACAGTTCCCAACCAACCTAGAGCTAACCATGTTCATGTCCACAGATAGTTGTTGGTTCGGAATATCAGCCACTGTGCTACAAACCAACGGGCGACACTGGATACTAGGCAGGTAAGCAACTTGGCTCACGCCTCGTCTGGGCACGGCATATTGGCAAGGCGTTCTGGGTGATGCACTCGCACGCGTACGGGCGATATAAACATTGATTGATTGGACGTGACTGTTTCGAACAATATCTTTGACACGCGGAATATGCATCTCGCGGCGGGTCTGTAGCATGATCCTATCAGGCTGAAGGGCCTGAGGCCGAAGGTAGGATCGTACAAAGACAATGACTAACTGGTTTTGTTGGTGTATAGGTGGCCTCAAGAGCCGATGGTGTGTTAAAACGTTGGGTTCTTGTGCAACAATACAATACAATACAATACTATGCAGCTCTCCTCAAGTCGACTCGACAACCGGAAAGAGTATGCTTGTAGTGACGAATAGGAATGTCGAGAATAGAAATGAAATGGCCAGAGTGTCTCTTTGGATCGGATACTGTGCGCGACGAGAGTGTTTGTGATAGAGAGCTGAGTTTGATTAGAGGCGTCAGATATATGTCAGATCGGCCGTCTTAATTAAAGGCTCTCTTATTTAATTTGTTGATACAAACGAAAACAGCCTATAGAATGTCTTGGAAGATATCATGCACAAAGTGTTTTCTTTGACCGAACGCCGTGTATTCATTTAGGTTTTAGTTTGTCTCGGAGCCATTTACGCAGTACCTCATTTATTCCCTGCCCATTCGACTCCATGACAAGGCGTGTTTGAAACGACTTCATAGGGATATAAAAGCGAGGACTGGAAATACAGCAAGCGAAATTGTTGAGCCAGATCGTACTGTTTATGCATACAATCCTGAAGTGTTTGTTTTGGACTCAATAGCTTAGAGGTCTTTCTTTCCGTTGCCGCTAGAAGAAAGAGTGGAGTGGATCGTGCCTGAATTGGCATGGGGTCAGGTGGGTTATGATAAAATCCTAAGAAGAATAGAAGATCTCGGAGATCTGACAGCAACCGACTGAATACTAGACTAAGGAATCAGTTGAATATTGTAGCTTTTGGGCTGTCCAAAGAGAATTTCTAAAAACTAAAAACTAGATTTAATTCTTTCGAATAAGAAACCCTGTTATCGCAAATCATTTATATGCATCCCGTATTAAATATCAGCCAGTATTAGTATTAGCATCTTTATTTTAAGATTGATTCCCTGTCGGTTCGAGATGATGTTCTTTCACACTTTGGCGCGCGACTCCACTTGTGGATCTGCAGCTGTGCATGGGCTGATGCTCGAAATCCCTGTCCCCAGGTCTATGAGCATTAGAAAGGTTGACTGATAGAGAAAGAGAGGCGAAATAATTCAGCCATTTCTGTGGTATCTCATGCCGTATTACTCACTGAATAATTATTACACCCTAACCTTGAAAGTTAACTTTTCTGTTCCCCCCTAAAACCGGGGGCTGTTAGCACCTTTCATCACTGACGGGAAGGATGGAGGAGCCAGCTTCGGCTTTTGTAAGAGTTAAGAGACAAGGCAAGGCAAGGCAGGCGCAGGGGGGAAAACAACTTACCTCTCTCTACCTCAGGAAAAAAAAAAGTTTTTATCAAGGGCCGCCCACCAAATTCTAACTTTAACCTCTTCATATCTTAACATTAGGCAATATAAAAAGCATCAACGTCATCTCTTTTTCGTTGTTGCCTTTTTTATCCTTCTTATTCCCTTGCTCAAACACTAAATACTCTCTAATTCCGCAAGGGGCGCAGACGTCGATTCGATCCATACCCTGCAAACGCGACGCGCCCAGGGCACTTTTTGTCGTCTCATCTCCCCCAAACGTGCACTTTCACCCACCAAAGAGAGGAGGGTGTGCAGCCTGCAAGTGGAAGGAACAAAGACCACCAACTGGTCTAGCTTTTGCTTTTCCCTCTTGCTTTTTCTTCTTTTTTCGGTTTCCTGCTAACAGGGAAAACGCTTTGCACACAAACAGCACATTAGCCAATCCACAGCAAGCCACTGGGTAGAGAACCTAAGCAAAGCATTCATCGATCTGCAGCTACCTACCTACCTATAATATCCACACTGCGCACCTGCAGCGCTAATCTCGACCTCTCTCATCTTTTTCACGATCGCGAATCCACCACCCACCAACCCACGTACCCATTCGCTTCTCGGTAGAAGCAAACAAACCTTTCAAGATGGAAACAACTTCATTCAACGACTTTGTCCAACGATATAACAATATCCAAGCTTACGAAGCTTCAAAAGACAAACTGTTACAGGTATGCGCGCACGGCCGACATCATGATTCCTTTCGTCCGCCGCCTCGAGTAGCAGAACACTTGGCACTCAACATCATGAGATGCGAAACGACAGGAAAAACACAAAAAGAAGACTACTGGCTTGCGCATCTGTAAATATGTGCTGCCAATTCGTCCCTTTTGCTGTCAAAAGCCCAAGTCTTCTGCTGCCTCGATGGAATCCACGAGTCGCAAACACTGCTAACCATTCAACAGGATGTTCTCATTTATTGCAAGGCCATAGAATCCGACTCGGATAAAGAGAACCAGAAGCTTAAGGCTCGATTGAACGAAGTAGAGCTCGACCTCAAAGCTGCGACTAAAACCAGAAGAGATTTACAGAAGAGCCTAGAGGAAGCAGAGTTACAAGTCAAATGGGTGATGCGACAAAATGATGAGATCAAGGTATATTGATGATTTGACGTGATGTTGCACGAGCGCAACCGCTAAAAGCTTCAGAATACCAACTCTTACGTTTTAATACTGATCGATGGCGACGGTCTCTTGGTACGTTTATTCAAATATGGCTTGGTTGTTGTCTTGGAGCTGATCAAGTAAAGTTCGATGACAATTTCATGGCACAAGGCCTCGAGGGTGGAAGAAACGCAGCCCGCGCACTGCGAACCGCGGTAGCGCAGCTTTGCAGTCATGAGCGTACTGGTTCATTAGAAATTATCTGTCGCGTTGCGGCCAACGTTGGGGGTCTCAGCAAGGCGCTATGCAGTGAAGGATGCATTGAGAATCCTAACCAGTTTAGAGATTTCACTCTTGGCTTTACACAGGCCAGGGCATCCTTCGACTTTCTCGATGTTGGCTTTGGTAAGGAGCGGGCTGATGCCAAAATCCGAGGTATGGTCTTTGCATCCATGCGGGAGGCCACCCCTGGCTAACACTGTTAGAAACGGCACGTTGGCATCTGGGCAACCAGAATTGCAAACATATCCTCTTAGGTATTGGACATGATGCTGGATATGCCCCTTTCCTTGAAGAAATAGTTCACGATGATGAGTCGCGCCATTGCGTGTCTTTAATCAAGGGGCCGCCCCTCGTGCGCGAATTGGAAAGACTCCAACTGAACGTTATTGAGTTTGAAGACATCTTCCGTCCAACTAAGCTGATTAGCGAAAAAAACCCAACTCTGGCAATAGGCACCCAGCGAACACTGCCAATCAAAACCCATACCTCGGCGACTACCAGCATGCCACCAACACAGGCAGCTGTCTTGACACCTGCAACTAGTACTGCATCGTTGTCGCCTCCGAATAGTTCTTGGGCCAAGATTACAAAGAGCGCTACTCCACCACCTCAACTTACTATGCCTCTGCCGCCTAAGCAAGCCAAAAGCAAGCCTACCAACAAGACCCCAGCCCAGCCAGCTTGGAGCCCCGGACCTCGTGGTATTGACCCTACCGTTTCGGTTGCTGCAGCGGCCATGGAAAACATTAAACGACGAGCCGGAAACGAGAAGCTTTGCAACAATCATTATCTTCGTGGACCGTGCGGTAGAATGGACATTTGCCCCTTTGTCCATAATTACAAGGCCACCCAAGACGACTTACTCGCGCTTGCAATGCTGTCACGTCAGAATCCTTGCACAGCTGGTCAAGAATGCGATGTAGATGATTGTATTTATGGCCATCATGTAAGTCCTTTTACTGGCCTCCATCACATTACGTTACTGACTACCGCAGTGCCCCAATGTCGTTAATGGCATGTGTACACGACAGTATTGCAGATTCTCGAGAGATGCACATCCGCCAAACACCAAATTTATCAACAAGAACATCGATGTTAACTAGAGGATCCGAACCTCCACTGGCTGTCGTCTCGAACAACTCGCAATATAACTAGAAAGGATTAGGGATAGGAGTTAAGAGAATACAGGGCTTTGGGACTGTTTTTGGAACGGGATGTGTCAAAGACGATAAATTGAAAGCTTCATCTTGCTTCGAAACAATGCTGCTCGCGCTCACTGAGGTGGCGTGCATATAGGTTCTCTCCTCAAACCTGGAGCAAGAACTTGCTATAGCTGGTCAGCTATGTTTAGGTTATTGGTAGTTCGGGGCTGCAGTTCAATGAAATATTTAGTATATCTGATATTTGTCCTGGCAGGGTATTTGGTGGTTGTTCACAATTTTCAAAGTCTAATATTGACTCCTTGCTCTGTAGCTAGTCGGCAGGGTATGGTATGCCAATTTTGACATGGCCGATCTTGCACAAGAGATATCATAAGGAAAGGGAGGATCGCGTGAAGAAATATGTGATGATTACTGAGACGAAGCATGCATAACCATCTAGACGACAAGCTTGTGAGCACAACATACGCCAATGCACAGCCCCTTTTATTAGTGACTTCTCGCATCGCCTGTTGGTGCAACGACTGTCTCCTGAGGGCCTTTCTGAGCAGAGTGCACATCTCCCGAGTCGTTTTCGACGAGACCGGTACTAAGGGCACCGGCACTGGTCGAGTCAACTGGCGCAGAAAAACCGTACCATGCGACAACAGCCACGCCGAGAATTCCGCAGATGCAGCTGAAAACGAGTGCGACGATACCGCGAGGTGTGAAGCTGTACTCTAGAGTCAGAAACAATGGTATTAGAATATAAAAAAAGGGGGCAGCTCACCCAGGAGGCAGAGACTTGGCAGGTTTGTTCTCGCCAGTAAGATCGAGAAAGTCCTCTGTGTTGGCAGCAGCGTTTCCCTTGGTAGGCATATCGGCGGCAGCGCATGCATCAAGGTGGTTCTTTGGGATCTCAATGGTTTCTTGGAGGGTAAGGGGGTCTTCTACGAAAGTAGCGATAAGACCAGAGATAACGTGCCACTCAATGTGACAGTGGAACAGCCAGACACCTAATAAATGTTAGTTCTTGGTGTCATCTTCAGGTTAAGGTTCAAACATACCTGGGTTATCTGCCTTGAAACGCATGACAATGTTACCGTTGGGGTATATAACTAGAGTATCACGTCGCATGGGGGTTTTTGGCAGATCCTTGTCTGTGACATTGGTATCGGCCCAAATACCAGCCTCTTCCTCGGATCGATAGACAGACTGGAATGCATGACCGTGAAGATGGAAAGGATGACGACCCGAGTCAAGGTTATTTACCACAAGCTGAACAATCTCGTTCTTCTTGAGGACCATAGAGTGTGTATAAGTTCCGTATACAGTAGGGTCTTCGGCGTCCTTCCCTGCACTGAGTGCCGTGTAGAGCGTGGGGACTTTGGCCTCGGTATATGTGATGTCGTTGAAGAAGGCGTAATTCTTACCGTCCTTCAAGTTATCCATCTTAACATCCAGGATCACCTCCTTGTCAGGCTTTCCCAGAATTTCCATCTTGTCATATGGAACAAGGGTCATGTCATCGAAAGGATCTAGTGTTTCGACAGTGGCTGGATCTGGTTTCTCGGCCTCTTCATCGTAGACTAACCAGCCGGTAGAGTTGTAGTTTAGGTCTGAGGGCAGGACGTCAAAAAGAGTCTAAGATGTTGTGAGTACTTCCCTGTGATCATTTTGAGGGAGTTTACTCACAGTGTCCATGCTAGCAACAATAGGGAAGTTTTTAGAAGTGTCGTTCTTGGTAGTTAAAAGAAAACTGACTCGTTGTGCAGCCGAGATGTAGATCATTTCTGCCTCAGCTTCCTCGGTGTAAATGCCATCAACCTCGACGATTCGCATTTTGTGCCCTTCAAACCAGAGATATTGACCTGCAAAAGCACCGACATTGATCACCCGGAACAGGTATGTCTTTTCGGGTTGAACAGGCATTGTGAAGTTTGTGGTTTCATTCATGAGGGCGTTCTTAGGCACAGGCTCGGCGCCTGAAGGATTTGACTTGGCCATGAATTGTGGTATGAGCGACCGCATTTCATCATGATACCAATCAGAAAGTGTGAGGATAACCTCTTCATCGTATTTCTTTTGATACGGGAAGTCTTTATCGTGAACGATAAAGGGCCCGCGTAGACCGTCTGGATATTGTGCTGCAGTGTGACTGTGATACCAGTATGTGCCGGGCTGATCAACCTGTAGAAAACATGTTAGCTTGAGGATCGAAGTACTATCTTGTGTTTTCTTACAGTGAAGTTGTATGTAAAACTAGTTCCAGGAACAATCGGGCATTGACTAACACCAGCAGGACCATCCATGTGCGTGCTGCCATTCATGTAGAGGCCATGAAAGTGTAAGGAAGTAGATTGATTTCCTAGATTGTTATGCACATCGATGATAACCCGGTCGCCAATATCAACCTCGATTGTAGGAATGGGCCATTGGCCATTGATTCCAATAACTGGGCGTTCGAAAGCATTGTCAGGATTAGCTCTGACCCAGCCAATTTCGAAATCGAACTTTTTGGTAGCAGCCTGAACCAGTTCGGGGAGAGCAAGAAGTAGCACTGCCTCGACTGACAAGAGCTTGGAGCGCATCTTGAATGTGAAAGAGCCGTCACTCTGGACAAGCAAATTTGAGAAGAATGAGGATATTAAAGGAGAAGAAGTGAGTCGAGGCCAGAAGAAGGGGAGACAGGCTCCCAGTATGGGGTAATAAGAGCTTGTGAGACACTTGGAGAAAAAGGAGTATGATGCTTTGCAAAAAGTGAGAGGTGAATGTGGAAACAGCCGAGATCAATTTGATCAGATTAGATGGATGGAATTGGAACCGAGTTGAGACCAATACGGACCCTGGTGGAATGATCAAGCAATGATACGAGTTTGCATGGGGGAGAGGGATGTATGTAGGTACGGTAGCATCACAAGCCGGCCAGAGTTTGTGTTGCACTGATGAGTAGAGGGAGATTTAGCAACCGAGAGCCGAAGTCAAGACAAGATCCCAGTGCCTGTACTAAATGTCACTAGTCTGTGATACATGTTGATCTCTGCATAAACACAAGAGTCTGTTCGGAAGAATGACAGAGGCAATCTAATGGCGCTAATCGAGGTTAATGCTTTTGATCAGCCCATCGGCAAAAAGTGAACCATGTCTGCGGAATTAAAGCGTAAGGGTGGTTTGAATGAGCCAGTGTTAAGCTGTAGATGGATAAGATGAGTAGAAGTTGATCCATTGTGGCTTGAAGAGGCTTGAAGCTATCGAGTCTTCTGATTCTCATTCTGATTCTGGGTCGCTGTTGCAGTTGCCATCCATGTAAGTGGAAGGAAGTGCTCAAGATGCATCTTTCCTCTTCTGGTTTGGTGGGCTCTTCTTACCCCACCTAAGCTCCATCTTATCAATCGCAACCTCTTGCTCGTGTTCTTTTCTCTCTTTCTCTGCCGCTAATCTCTTACAAGGTATGATTTGCTTTGAATACCTGGTAAATAAATTGACCAGCAGCAATTGAATTTTCACTTTGAACAGGCGATGCCACCCTTTTCGGCACAGTCACTCCCGATTGCTCTGTACTAGCCATGGTCCATTCAAGGGTCCAAGACTCCAACTGCTCTGACCTGCCAAGGCGGGTCACCCACAGCTATCAAACCCGCTGGAGCGTCTTGGCGATCGGCCTCTTCCTCGAAATACCGACAGAACATTCCCTATCCTAAACCACAAGTGATCCCTGTAAATCTTACTATACCTGGTCTTGAGGCTAAGACACCCTGATTATTGGGAAAAAGAGGATCCCACGGCACGTCAAAGCCGGTTCGACCGCCACAAATTCACAGGAGAGACATCTTCCAGTGGACCCTTCAACGGTCGAGAAGCCATTCTATGGATGCAGTAACCAGAGAGAGTGGCCTGACAGTTAAACGAAAACAACGCCTTTCCGAAAGAGAGACAACACCACAAGCGAAAACGAGAATTGACGAACATACCACTTGGAATTTTCAGCTGCGGCATATTAACTATCCCTGTCCGTCTCATGTAAGTTGCTAGGTTGCCTCGGATCAGATAATGACAATCTTCTGATCTTTTTGATACGATAACTTTGATCTTGAATCGGCAGGTCACAGCCAACCCTTACAGTCGGCCGCTTCTTCTCGTCCAGCCGATCTCTGGTGCGGCTGAACTGTCGCTACCAATCATCAAAGCCGAGCATCACCGCTTTGAAGTCCATCCATCCATCTGATAATTCCAAATTTGCCCCGCCCAAGATGCAAAGTATTGTGGCATGATGCTGGTATCTCCTTGTAAGACATGTCTACTACTTTCCCTAGGGCCAGCCAGGATCGCCATTAAGCACACTCCATACAAGCTCAAGCAATTCTGACTCGGCATTGGTCTTTTGACTACCTAGATCGGCGTGTGGGGTCGCTGTGACAAGCACGATGAAATCTAAGCTTGAACTACGGTAATTTCACTCCGAAATTCGAAGGAGAAACTATAGTCTCTCAAAGGCCTTCTTTTTGATGTTTCACATATATGTAAACTTGCCTTGACCAACACTAGATAATGTCGCTCTCCAGATGGATCTCGTATCTGAACATGAGCAACTAACTACCTTGCAATTTCGCAGCCCGCATCGAAAAAGAGGAGATTGTAGTCACACAAGGTTATCAGATTGATTGATTGATTAAGCTCACCCCTCCTTGATCAAGGTTAGAAACCAACGTCCCACGGTACGGCAATTCCATGCCGAGCGTCAACAGACTAATGTGACTTAGCAACAAGCCACCAACCATTCAGCAGTCCAAACAAGCCCGATCATGGGCTGTTTTCCCAGCATCGTGCGGCACTTGAGCCTACTAGCTGCTCTGAATTTTTCTCATTTCATGGTCTTGCTCTGCTGATCCATGTGCTATCCCAAAAGTGAAGTTCGTTCAAGATACGAGCTAACCCAGGTAGCTTACAAGGTTGTGTAATAATGCTATATCAAATCATGCTGCCTCCCAACCCCTGTTCTTGTGAAGAGTTGAACGGTTATCTGATCCGCCGCATGTGAGGTCTCGGAGGATTCACAAGCTACTCCGATTCCAAAACGTAGCAAGTGTAACTCAGAACCCAATACTGTCTGTTGCCGCTTCCTGTTTTTTACTTCCATATTTACTCTTATCTCTCTGTTCCTTCTTTTGTTCTGCCAACTACTGGAGGTTGGTCAACACAATTCCCATCTGGAGTTCAACACACCTCTCTATAACGACCGAGTAGCTTCCCTTTGACCAAAACCCACTATGGCGGTCGATGTCTTTGCGGTTCCCGTTTTCCTCGTTGTCTTTCGAGAGACTCTCGAGACAGTCATAATCGTCTCGGTCCTACTTGCTTTCCTCAAGCAAATGCTCGACGGGCCCAATGGTGATATTAAAGTATACAAGCAACTAAAACGTCAGGTAAATATACAGAACCACCGCTACTCACTTCAGAATACTGACCTGTCTTTCTAGGTTTTGCTCGGAACGGGCATTGGCTTCTCCATCTGCATGGTCGTTGCTGCCGCTCTCATCGGCGTCTTCTATACTGTTGGAAGCAACTCTTGGGATAAGCACGAGTACTACTATGAGGGGGCATTCAGCCTATTTGCTTCCCTCATCATCTCTGTCATGGGTGCTGCTCTTCTCCGTATCGGCAAGATGCAGTCTAAGTGGCGCGTCAAGTTAGCAAAAGCTATCGAGTCCCCAATCAAAGCTGGGAGTAAGGGCTGGTTCAAGCAGTTTGTTGAGAGATACGCCATGTTTGTCCTACCCTTTGTTACAGTCCTCCGAGAGGGAATTGAGGCCGTTGTCTTTGTTGCTGGAGTATCTTTCTCAGCTTCGGCCAAGTCTATTCCTCTGCCTACTGTTGTCGGTCTCTTCGCCGGTTGCTGTGTTGGCTACCTCTTGTACAAGTAATATTTCCCCTTACAGGCACATAGCTCTTCCAATGCTGACTATAATTCTAGGGGTGGTGCGAGTACCAAACTCCAGTTCTTCCTTGTTCTATCCACCTGCCTCTTGTACCTTGTTGGTGCAGGTCTCTTTTCTAGGGCTGTATGGAGCTTCGAGATGGCCAAATGGAACGAGTATGTCGGTGGTGAGGCAGACGAGTTCGGTAACGGGCCTGGCTCTTACGATATTGACCAGAGTGTTTGGCATGTTAATGTAAGTCGTCATTTGTTTACCGAGTCCACCTTTTCAATGGCCTGATAGTTTTCAGTGTTGTACCTCTACCGACAAGATTCAGAATGGCTGGGGCATCTTTAACGCTATTTTGGGCTGGACAAATTCGGCTACATATGGCTCTGTCATTTCTTACAACTTATACTGGATTTGCGTCATGGCTGGCTTCATTATCATGCGCTTCAAAGAGACACATGGTAGGTATCCATTCGGAAAGGCAAAGGCTCATGCCAACGCTGTTGATGATACCGAGAGTCACACGACCTCTTCTCCAAGGAACGTCCCAGAAAAGACCACAACAGCATAATCGGCATGAGAAGAAGTATGGGCAACGACCGGGCTTGTCCTGATGGGAAACTCTGTACAATTTCGTCCACCTGACAACGGCGTTATAAGTTTATCCTAGTCTACATCCATTTTAACAAAGTCTAATAAGCAAGTCTCGTTATATCTGCTCAGCTCTCAGGGGTCCAGTCCCATTCATCTGCCAAAAACATAGCCTTTGCCATCTTATCAACATAAAGAGCTCCTTCGTAACGTAACCTCTGATCGTTTGCAATTGCTCGTGTAAACTGAAACTTCTTGGGTGCGCTGTCTCTGTCGTCGGCTCCATGCTCCTTCTCGGCGAGCCACGAAATCTCAGTCGGTCGCCTCTTCCAGTCGGCATAAGGGATCGCGATGACATTTGCTGAAAGCATCGACCGCATGTAAATCAAGATTGGTTCAAGACGTGTTCGTAAACCACAGTTTGTATGGTGTTTATCAACTTGGTAACTCGGACATTGCTGAAGTGTAGATAATAGTTCCTCGATCTCGATCATGGCAGTGTCTGGCACCATATTCAAAGACGCCGGACTAAAATCCACGAGAAACAACAGATTTTTGTTCACAAAAAACTTCAGCATTTGGCCAAGCTGGTAAGAGTCACATGCCGCACTCGAGTCATACCCAAGTTTACATTGCCTTTCGCGAGAAGAGAACAGGGCGAGGAAGTGGCGCTGGACAGAAGAGACGGTGTTGAGAATACACTCGCGCCGATGCCGTAGCTCCTCTACAAATAGTAAGTCCCTACTAATATCACAATCCGACGCTGGAACTTTCACTTACCCTCTAAGCCATCCGGTAGGTTCCACCATGCAGCAGTCATAGTGGTATCTTGATCGTGAAACTCGCTCCAAAGACTCGATCCTCTCATGATGATTTCTCGAGTTGATTGTTGCAGACGCATGGGTTGTCCTAGTAGCCACGCGACCATGATCTTTTGGCGCAACACTTGCTCTGTCTCTGTAGGTCGTCCATCCTCACTTCTTAGGGGTTTGTTCGACGTCAATGGCCACCTAAACTTGAGGTCTGTGTTCAAAACCCGAGCTACCGCCGCTACACAATCGAAGCGATCGGCAACGATTGCCAGCGTAGTGATGTATGGCATGGTTCCACGAGACGTTTTTGTAGGTCTCTGGTGTATAATATTGAGTATATCTTCCATGGTGTTCTCACGTCCAGCGGCTTTAGTTGCTTCATCATCATCGGTGATTGGAATCCAGGGTAGGTCTTGAACATCGGCTTCGTTTGCGTTGATCTTCAGTTGGGCGAGCTTTTCGTGTACATCTGAGATCAGCTTGGCTTCTCTAAATTGAGAATTGGATAGAAGATTTGAGAAGTACTTTGAGTGCTTCTTTAGAGTCGCCAGATTGACTCGATATCCCACCCGGACCTTTGACTTCAGAGTTGAGCGGTCAGGGGGCTGAGTACCAGCTTTCCTGCTGGCAGCAAGCTCAGCTTTGTGAGTTTTGTTGAGAGTGCTGGCAGAAGTCTCAAAGGTTACGTCCAAGACGATATCACCAGCAGCATCTATTTCTACCACGGGAGGCAGATCATTCTTAGAAGCCTCTGACCCGTCCGCCTCGGCGGATGCTGCAGTCCCAGACTCGCCCATTTGCTAGGTATTGGGTGTTATTCGACATGGAGATGTCAGCCTTTGTTGAGGCCTAATTGTGAACAGGCTGGATGCCGAGAGTAGAAAGATAGGATCTCAGTTGAGTAAAAGTCTTTTCATAGGGAAAATGATAAGATCTCAAGCTCCCATCTCATAGGTTGCAGGTGGGATGACGTTCAACTGCAGAGTACGTACCTCCTCTTTCCGAATTGATATCCCTGACAGACCCCGCCACTTGGTTGCGACCTACGTTCCCGGGGCGGTCCAGGGGCGTAAGTCGTTAATTTTAGCGGTTACACGAGGCTTCCCGCCCCTGACTCCCGATGGGGTCCCCGCCAAATTCTCGTGGTGCAGCCTAAAGCCTGGTCTTCTCATCGCTTGATTGGCCAGAGTTTGTCTAAGAGAACCCGGCTTTGGCAGATCCACCTGGGAAATCATGTCCATCCAACATCTATCGTCACTTTCCGACCACCAACAGGGCAGACCTGGATCTTCTGTCCTTCACTCACGAGAACACGTTATTCAGACAAACAAACTCTCTATCACCTGGTCTGCCCTCCATTCGAAAATAAACTTCAAAGCTTCGTACGTTTTGTCTCGACGAGCGACTGGCAACAACTATACTCTGACAACCCACACAACCTTCGACAAACTCGCCCGATGGCATTGCAGACTTTAGCCTGCACAGCGCTCCAGTTCTTCGAGGGACACTGATGAGTGAGGACTGGCGAACAAAACCATATACACATTCACTACTTGACAATGGCACCATTTACTCGCGCCGCTGTCGATTCAACACTTGCCCCTGCAGTTCAGCTCCTTAGGATCACGGCTCGACCTTCAGTGACGCCGAACCGTCTCGGTTTTTACCTGCGAAACGACGCGCAAAATGGGACATTAAATACGTTTGGCTGTCTGCACCGATCCGTTTGTTCGACAAAATACTCAACATGCGCGAACTGGTCCGACAAATCGCGACAGTCTCGGCTTACACGTCCGAAGTCGCAGCCCAGCCAACTATCCCTGTCGACACTCGAAATACATAATCGAAGAGAGTTTCATACCTACTTTGTGACACATCTACCTTCGTCTTCTGTTCATCCCGATTCTCGTTCGATAGGGCCTGGTCACAAGCTCCCTCGCGATGCTGCAACCCCTCACACTCCAAGTGCTGGGCCTGTCCCCGCTGTCGCCCCGCCTTACATCCCGTCAACCCGAGACTTAACTGTAGTACGAATTCCAATGCGGAGGGCAAAGCATCATCTGGGAGTTGCGACAGATCGAGGAAGCCGTCCCTACAACGAAGATCGAGAACAGGCTGGCACAATCAGTCTTCCGGCCTTTGCCAAGAGAGCACCCAGGAGCGTAAAGCACAACCCAGGAGAGGCTACAGCTGCGGATAGCGCTTGGGGGGACCCTCAGATCTTTTACTTTGGTGTTTTTGACGGACATGGTGGTAGCGAATGTGCTGATTTCATCCGCGATGAGCTGCCGGGGTACATTGAGAAAGCATCGGAAGAATTCGGGCTTCAAAGCAGTTTGCGCAAGAAGAAACCAAGTCGTGAAGGCATACACAATCACCACCACGATCACAAACATAAACAGGCTCGCACATCTCAGTCAGCGCAACCTGCGAGTACTCCCTCGACGAAACGTGAGGCTCTTGATGCAGTCCACATGAAAGGGCCAGAAGAGGTCAGGCACGAAATGAATGTACCTGATACAAACAGTGGCGCTATCTCTGAAAAGCCAGTGCATGGAGAGCGAATACACAGCGCAACATCGCCGCCCGCCGAAGTCTCAGACCTTGCAAAGGCAATTCGTATGGAGAAGAACTTGGTCAAGGAATACAGAGACACTGTCGGCGGTTACTTCAGGCGCTTTCACCCCGAACACTTTGTTCTCTCACGAGATGAATTCGCTGTAGAAGGACGCAAGATTACGATTGAATCGGTGCTTGCATATGCCTTCCTACGTGCGGATCTGGATTTTGTATCAGCCCAAGCACGAAAGGTCGATCCCGAAGACGCGAAAGGATCTGATGATGCCCCTGTCAACAACGACGAGGTCTTTGGCCACCCGTCTACGCCCTCTGGCCATGGCATAGGAGGTCCGGCAAGATTCAAAGGAGGTTCCACGGCCTCGATAGCCCTCATTTCTACACCGACACCCGCCCCCTTTTGGCATCCAGCAGCCCAGAGCACGTTACTGTGCGCTCATGTTGGAGATAGCCGTATACTTCTTTGCGATACCGCTACCGGCTTGGCTCAGCCTTTGACATCCGATCACCACCCCAGTAGCCCGACCGAGAGTCGACGGTTGCGACGATATGCACCTGCTGGATCAATGGTTTCTGGCGATAGTTTCGGCGAGGAACGCATTGCTGGCTTGGCCAATAGTCGCGCTTTCGGAGATATGAAAAGCAAGCGCATTGGTGTCTCGGCTGAACCAGAGCTTACACGGGTCGAGATGGGTCCTGCACAATACTCTTTCCTTGTCCTGATGACGGATGGTATTTCAGGAACTCTAAGCGATCAGGAGATCGTCGATGTTGTTAAAGAGGCTCGTACGCCTGAAGACGGAGCTCGTAATATCGTCAAGTATGCTACCGAAGTTTCTTCTGACGGTGACAATGCGACATGCCAAGTGGTACGCCTGGGTGGCTGGGAGCGTCGATCTGAAGGTGGACTGGGAAGTCTTGGAACTAAGGAGATCCGTGATGCACGCATCGCAGAAGCTCAAGATCCACGACGAGGGAAGAGGTGATTGACTTGAATGATCAGACTAGAAGACTGATGTTGCTTGGATAGAGGGTGCTGAAGCCTTGAAAATGGAACGATCTTGAGGGAGCACAATTGTTCATGTTTTTATACTAGGGGCACTCTACTATTGCTTTTGGTGGTATTTGTATTGCATGGAATCAGGAGTTCTCTGGAGTAACAGACAGCGACATAGCATGCGCTAAGGGGGCCATCCGCACTAAGATCACAGTCGAGGCTGGGACATATGTAGCGCTGCATTGGCAAGTATGTGCGATAGTTCTTTATCATTGAAGAAAAAAATACGTCTTGACTAGTCTAAGTCTGTTTGTTACCTTTCCCTTCCCCTCCTGGGTATCCAGTATCAAAATTCCAGCCATTGTCCTTGGCCAATCCTCAGGGTCTTTTATCCAATCCCAGTAGTTCCGTGATCTCATATATCATAGCACGCTCCTATTTACCATCATGTCTCCTTTAGTATCCGTGGTGTGAGCCGGGATACTGTCCCCAGCCAGGAGGAGGCTGGTTGCCAGGAGGAGGTCCGCCATAGCCTGGCTGGCCGTATGGAGGATACTGAGGAGGGGGTGCTCCATACCCCGGACCTCCATATTG